GAATTTTGATTGATAAGTGAGATGAACAGATATTTTCGTTGCATCAGTGGCACTATTGTTAGTCGAATTCTTAATAGAAACTTTCATTGAACCAATCATACAACGTTTACAATGCTGACAATGGTATTGATTAGAATTAAAAAATTATAGTATAGACAATTGTCATAATAATAATACATATACGTAATTGAGCTGTTACCCTAAAATTAAATTATTTTTTGAATAAATAATGGAATAAATGTCAGATATTGTATAATGATATTATACGATAATAGACGAATAAATAGACGTTGAAATAGCTAAGCTGATATTTATACGTGCGATTAATCTGAGGTAATAATTATAATATAATTTAATATGATAAATGTGATGTAATATAAGATAATATAATGGAATATAATGTAATATAATATAATATAGTATAAGATTACATAATAGGAAAGAATAAATACACAATGATTGGATATTTTCCACTGCCACAGTTATGAGATAGATTCAGCAGTCAAGAAATCGAAACCCTAGTAGTTCCTAAAGTTATCAAAGAACTTGATCAAATGTCGTTTAAAAAATCATAATAAATGCTCGATATACATGTACTTATACTAATATGTATGAGTATTAACATATAAATACATGTACATCAATATATGCTACTTTTTCATGCTTTGCCAAAAAGTTCAGCTAGAGATAGTTAGAATGGATACTGACTAAAATTTATTGAATTATTTTTACGTAAAAAAACTAAAGCTTCAAACTGTATAATTGTCATGGTTAAATCAAGGAATAAGTTTTGCACAGTATTTATTAGAAGAGAAATGAGTAAAAAAAGTTGTCCTTTTCATAGCAGTCAAGAGTTCATTTTAATCATTTTTTAAATATAAAACCAATAATGTAGCTGCAAATATGCACATCAACTATTATTCGTAAAGATATTTATTAAATAAGGTAAAAAATGCATGATAACCATATCATCCATATTTTCCTAACCCTTTAAGTAGGTATAAATTTATATATAATAAAATGAAATATATATTATACAGTTATTTACATCAAAAGTATCATTCATTAGATGAAATCAATTTGATCAAGTAAGTCATTTTTCTTATGCAATAATTTTATTATTAATAATAACTTTTCGAGTCATTGATCTGAAGCAGTTGACACGATCTTTGATCATAACATGATTCAAATCATGATATTTTGAAGGTATTAAAATGACACATTGATAAATGAGATATCAACTATACAAGTAATATCCTTGCTTGATCAACAAATACGTTCGCTTCTTTAATAGTGTTTTCTATCAATTTTGTTTCTAATTATTTAATTACGCATCATAGTAGCAAATAATGTGCATTAACTTATTCGAATAATTTGGAATCTAGAATTGTATGGTCGTTGCCAATCATTCTGAATGTTGATTTTTTTTAATGTCGATGCACTGCGATTGATTGTTTTATAAATATTAAAACGATTTTTATTGATGTGTGTAAGTGCATGTGTGAATGTATGTATGTGTGGGTATGTGTGTGTAAGAGTGTTTATCAATACAATTATACACGTATATTTAATATGTGCCATACACTGGAAGCATAACGGGCACGACGCGATCGCAATACTCTCCTCTCGATGCTACTTATTAGGAATCAGATCCACCGCTTATATCTATATTTATTTTTTGAAACTCGGCTTTTTGCGTTGTATACTTTTTGTACACTCTTCACTCGTTTTATGTTTATAACATTTTCAAAATCAGTCAGAAAATTAGATTTGAATCTTTAAAAATGTGCTGCTTTTGTTCCTTCGAATCCTCGATCTTGAGAATTTTATAAATTTTTCTGCTCGAGTGACTTTGGGGATTTTCTGAGCAACGCACCACTATTTCATCGTTAAAGACGTAGGAAGGACGGAGTTATATTCTAAGGTTAAATTTATTTATACTTTTTAGTTATCTCCTATCTAAATGATTTTGGTCTAATTGGTTTAAAATACATGATTGCGCACTAACTATACCTTATAGTTATACTCAAAGCCTTATATCACCGATCTTTCTTTTTCTCTCTTCTTCTGTTAGTCAAATAAGAAAATGAAAATAAAGGATTTTCATGAAGAATAAGGAATATCTGTAAGTATTGGAGGATTTATTGGATAACGATGAAAAGTTAACACAATTTTTAAGAATAATGAAACAAATATTTGTTAAACTAATCACAAACCAGTTTAATTTTTGAATAAAATAATTTCATATGTATTTCATTATTATAATTCGAGTTTAATAAATGAATAGTTGCACAAGTAGCAAAAAACAATGTTAATCAATGGCAAAATATTACGGTTAATGAAATAAGTTTTATAAATAATAATTTGTTAAAGAGGATGCTAAAAAGCCTCTCGGTACACAAACTCTGCATAATCATAGCAGTGAAAATACATTTTGACTATTATTTGAATTGACATGAAGTTAAAACATATTAAACACACATATCAGTTGTTATAATTAGTATACGCAAATGTTTTAAATAACTCACACTCAGTTTCGTTAAATGTTTAAGTATATAATAGCTATTAAGCAATTAGATAGCAAAATAACAACACAGTGAAATGAACACAAATTATTTTTAAATTATAATAATACAGTTATAATAATAATAATAATAATAATAATAATAATAATAATAATAATAATAATAATACAAATCATAAAAGTAATTAATACAATAATTATAATGACAATTATAATGGTAATGAATGGTGATAATGAAGATAATAATAATAAGAATAATAATATTGTGAAAAGAATAATGGTAATAATGACAAATTACAAATGATGATAATAAAGAAAATAATAATTGTATTGAAGAACAAATGAAAATTACATGAAATTGAGAATTAAATTATACACTTATTATTAACGAAATTAAAAGTAATGACGAAAATAATTCTTAATTAATTATGATTACGAGATAATGCTTCGAAAGGTGTTCTTATTGACTTTTTAAAATTACTCTGTCTTTAATTAATGGTTGAGTCTTCAAAATGAAATCTTCTTTTACGCGTAAAAAAAGTTATTCTTACGGAACATCAACGAAAAGAAGAGAGAAAATTTGTTTCAATTAATTACCTCAATTTGTGACCTTCAAACGGGTAAAGTAATATTAATTTTAACTTTCAAGCAAACTCATGGATGTTTCTATCTTTTTTACACTTTTTGGGACTAGACATAAAGAGGTACATATAAATACGAGAGAGGTAGAATAAGTAATAGTAATGCATATAAAATAAAATTAATGATAATAATAAATATTATGCTACGACTAACAACAGTAATTATTTAATTATATATTCGAGTCAATTATACGATACTTATAAACGTTATTGACTCGTACTAAGAGGAAGTTATTCTTTAGTATGAATCAAAAAATATAGTTATTTTGAAATTCAGAATCATTTTATAATATATTTAATTTCATCGAATACAATATTTTACGATCCCAAAAGGTAACATTAATCGTGAGAAAAAATTATGGTTTTATTTGGGTTCATATCACTTAAAAGCATTATCCGATAACTTTACATGAATAATTATCGCATACACCTTCAATTCATGGTTACCTAATTTGACGCGTCAACGGCTTTTTATATATGATAAAAAGAATAAACGAAGATAGAATATTATCGATCAGTCGCATGTCATCAGAGCATCCCTTTACACGGTGGACTAGAGACGTATTCGCGCGTATCGTTTAAACGTGGACTAGCGTGAAAAAGAGCTCTCCGTTGCAGAACACGTAACTTCGTCCTTCCCCGTCATTGTCTTTTTCATTTGCGGTGTCATTGTCTCAAGTTTGGTATTTTGTCTTACATTACATACACACACACATATACATATACAACATATGTATGTATGTATGTATACGTTTATGTATTTTTTTTTAAATTTGCTATCATGTAATAATGATAATATAGTAATTTTAATTATAATCATAATCATAATAATGACAATGATGATTATTGTATATTAATAGTCATTGTAATAATGATGGTAGTAATTATCCTAGGCTTTTTTTAAGTATCATTCTCTTATCTACTTGAACTAAACGGAGGGCGGGCGTATATTTTTTGCACTTGTTCAACGATCGACTTCAGTAATCCAGTGCCTAATATGTTATATACACGCGCATACATGTAAGTGTGAAACTAGCAGTTATATTATAGTCATTAAAATAAATCAACATAGTCGTCACCGTTACATGTATAGACATAAATAAGTTTGTATGTAATAATATTAGAATTTGTTACTGGATGTACACGCACCATGAAAAAAAAACCATTTCATTTCATGCGCTTGTTATAGATTATATTTAGTCTATCGCGTTTGTGCGAGCGTTTCGCGCGACTCGGCGCCAGCCTCTGCGGTGAGTCCGCGCTTATAATACCTCTACTATATTATCGGTAATTTAAAATCGTTGCGGACGAATTATTAGTTGTTGACGACGATGACGACGACGATCACGATGCGGGGGCTGGCAGCTCGTCGCAGTTGATGGCTAAATACTGTTTGTTTCCGAGCCTTAGGGCCTGTTAGCAGCTGTCTTCGTGCTGACCAAAATCTTTTTTGCGGCGCTGAGCTTGTCGCGAGCAACCTGAGCAACCAATGCCTGCTGAAGAGCGCGCGGCTGAGTATTGGAAGAGAACTGGCCAACAGCTGATAGCCGGCCGATGGCACCTCGCGGGGGAATGAGCCACGGTTGCTGGGCCGTGGCCGCGGCGATCTGCTGCAGCCACTGTCGCGTCGTCGACTGGCCGCTACCGCCGCCAGGTGGAATCATCAACGACGCCTGAGATGGATGCAGAGAATGCTGATGGTGTTTGTTCGAGACCAGTAAGCGTTTCTGCAGCAGCTGCTCCACCATGGCGACGGCCGAGGCCGTGCTGCTCGCCGTGCCCGCGCCAGTTGACTCAGCACTCGTTGCCGCCACCGATTGTTGACTAAGGAACGAGCTTTGCTCGTCCTACGCTGCTTTGCTTTTGTTTGTCTTGAAACTGACTTGCAGTACACGATTGCCCAGGGTATAGCCGTTGAGGCTCTGGATGGCTACGACGGCCTCCTCGTAGTTGGTCATCGTCACGAAACCGAAGCCTTTGCATTTGTTTGTCTGGAGATCGCGGATTACCTTAACTGATTGTACTGCGCCGAAGGGTCCAAACAGCTGCCACAGCACGTTTTCCTCTGTTTCCGGTGCCAAATTGTATACGAAGATGCACCAGCCGGAACCGTTCATCGCGTTGCCTGGTAGCATTGAGTTCGCCAGTAGGTCTCCTGCAAGAGGGCTGTACCTGAAACAGTTCTTGTTAAGCTCTCCACTTGTATGGTTTATTCTAATCTATACAATTTAAGCCACGAAATTCCATAAAATTTACATTTTTTTGACTTTACTTTAGCGTATTTTTAATATTCTAAACCATGAGCAAAATTTAGCGCTCTTAACACTGTTTGTCAATTAAAGTAGACGAGTGGCTACTATATGTTCGGTGAGTCTTAAACACCGTTATACACAAGTAATTTTTTTGTTTAATTATTAAATCATCAATTAGTTATGAAACCCATAGTGATGTTTCGCATGACAAAAAATATTAAGCGCTGACTAATTTCAATAATTTAAATACTTGAAAACGTTTTCTGCGATTTTTAATAAATATTTTCTCAAAAATTGTGTGATTATGACAGAAACTATAAAGAACTTTACTAAGTTTTTTAGATAATAATTTTGTAAAAGTTTCAGAAAACGATTTTCAAAAATAGATCAATATACTATAGAATATTAATGTCAAGAGAGCTACATACCTACTTGACGTCATAAGCCGCGTAAAAAAGAAATCACATTTCGGTTAGTAATCATTAAGAATTGTTATTTATAAGTAAATCGTTAGTTTTGTATTTATAATTCAAGCTCTAACGTAGATATGAATCAACGTTGTGTTTGATGTGGGACTGGAGAGGAGCTTGAATATTTAGAATTTTTTAAATAAAAATGTACAAACACAAAGAAAATTAGTAAAAAAAAAAATGTCTTTAAAAAAAAAATCGATTTGATATAATACCGATAAGTTTTTCTAGAAATGTCAAGTAACATAGATATAAAACGAAAAAACTAAAAGTAAAGTCAGACTATCGTATTTTGAAGAGTAAAACTAAAAAAACAAAAAAACCAACTACTAACTTCTGTAACTCTTTGTTCATGAAAAGCGTGGTCTTGCCTGGGCTAAAACAAACAAATTGAGGATATCACAAATCCAAATTTGGAAACAAGAATAAAAAATGTTCATCATTTTTATTGATTAATGGAGGTTTCATTGTAATTGGAACAAGACCATGCTTACGAAATACCGATAAAACATATTTGATAAAATAATGTATGTAAATGTTTTTTGTGTAAATGTTTTAATGTACGGATTCGGCACCTAATTCGCCATGAAAAAATTTCTCCACTTTTCTGTTGATGTTTTTGTATCAGATTTTATAAATGCATTTTGATTGGTGATAATAACAACAATAATATTAAAATATAATATTAATATTAATAATAAATTAAACATGAAATTGTCTGAATTGATTTATATCAAAGATAAAAAAAGTATTAAATGACTATAGGCACTATAAGGTAATCTTCCATCTTTTTAGCCTAATCAATAGTTAAAGGTTGCTGTAACATCAATACTTGCCACATGATAAATAGTAAAAAATAAAAATTAGGTATTGAATAATTAAAGCCAACGAAAAAGTGGAGAAATTTGGAAGTATTGAAATGGATATTTTCTATTCCTGTCAGGTATAACTAGTACAGGCGACTAGGTAGGTACCTGGATAGTGGCGACAGTGGAATGTACCTGAAGCGACCAGTTGGGTGATGGATAGGGCCACCAAATCGTCTAGTAGCTTGTGGAGTTAAGTATGCCGCTAATGGTGGAATGGCTTTATTGTTATTGCTTGGATTGTTGGCAAATTTTACCGTGATTGGCTCGGTTGAGCCTTTGGGAATTGTGCCATTCAATTCTTGAATAGCTCGTTCAGCCTCCACTCGTTGATCAAATCTTATAAAACCCACACCTTTCGATAAACCTGCAAAAGTTACAGTAAAAATATTGTAACCACTAGGTAGCATATGTACAATTAAATTCTGAAGGTTACTCAAGAAAATAATTAGCAATAATTTTTTGAAAATTTGGCAAGGAATCTAAAACTACTATCATAAAATAGCTTTTAAATAAACATAATCTAATATAAGCATATTTAAATGTACGGGAGCAATAATTTTTTAATTTTTACTACCCTTAATTGTTATTTTATTATATAACTTTTAGATTCTTAGCCAAATTAGACTTCAAAAATTTATTTTTAATTACTTTTTCAAATGATCCTCGAAATTTGTTGTATCAACTGCATTTTGAAAACATGAATATTAATATTGGTCAATTAGAAAATAATTTAGATCCAGAATTCCTAATTTGTTTGTATTTTTACTTCTACTGTAAGACAGGGTACTTTCAAAAAAGCTACATGAGATCCAGTACGCTAATTTTTACAAAGTTTGTGTTAAGTTCTTTGTAAACGAAAAACGATTCCGTTATGTCATAAGATATATCGTAAAAATATTTTTGATTTCGTCGTTCATACATGAGTAAAATAGTATTAAATTGTTGTCATTTTCGTTATTTTGATAAAATTAGCTATAATTTCTACCCCAGAAAAAATATAAATGTTTTTTACCACTTAAGTAAAAGTCGGGGATATTGACAATATGAAAATAAATAAGTTTATTATTTCTGTCATCATGTTTGTTAGGTCGAATTAATTTGACAGAAGTTTGCATAAATGCTTTACAACAAAACCTCATCATCATTCATGTAGCTTTTTAGAAAATGTCGATTCGGAAGTTTTGTTCGAAAATTCGATTCACAGTTCGAGGATCTTTTCTCATTTTTGTTTTTATATATAACTAAATTTTCAGGTAAAAATGTTTAGTATTTACTTCTCTACTAATTCTAAAAATCAATGCAAGGGTTCAATTGAAAGTTTTTAGTGGCTGGGTGCGCGCTATTTCGTTTCTTTACACTGTCTTATAATAGACGAAAATTATTATTCAAATATTTGTAATATTTTGGTTTTACATGTTTCTTTTATTATTGCCTCTAATGTCAGTACTCGTAAGATGTCAGAGGCAATTAAGATATTTTTAACTTAAATTGCAAAATAATATGATAACAAAAGCGTAAAGAAACAAAAAATTTGCACCACGCGAATTATGAAAAAACTTAATTATTCTCATTTAAAAATAGAAAAAGTACTAAATTTTAAAAATATAAAATGAAGTTATTGAGTTACGTACCCGGCAAATTGTCTCCGCCACCAGTCACAAATTGTCGTACTAAACAGAAACGAGAAATAATATCTCAGTAAAAAATAGTAAAACGTTTGTAACTTTCTAAATTCATTTTTCATTCGTGTTCTTCACATTACAAACCTTACATTATTTTTAACGAATGAAAAACGAGTGAAGTTTATACTAATAAAAAAAATAACGCTGAGAGTGTTGTCTGCCTCCTAGGTTACGTTGCAGATAAATTTTGATTATCAAAGTTGAAAGATTGAAACAAATAGAATCATTTTTCCTAGGAAGTAGATTCAGCGCAACTTAAAAATAACTTACATCGATGGCGATTTGGGTGGCAAAGATTTAGCTGTAAGACTTCAAGTACTTAACAATAATAATAACGGGAAATCATACGAAGAAATAATTTTCAATCTAAATGTGATGAATTGTTTACCCAAAAAAAAAGAAAAAATATATTGGCATCGAATCGCTATCAATTCGATATTTGTAAAATATTAAAGTGGAATCTCCGATAATTCAAATTAAATCCTAAGACGATGAAAACATTGCAGAATAACTGAATGATTTTAATTCAAACCCGCGTTGAATATATAAAATAATATTATTCATTTATAATAATAACTTTATTAATTTAATTTCTGTATTGCAACTTTTATTGACACATACAAATTTGATTTGTTAAATATCATATATTTTTGATTTATCAAATTAGTGAGTAGGATTCGATGATTATTTCTCACGGCACTGACATTTTTCAAAAATTCATTGATAAAAGCTTTTTATGAGAACAATAATCAATGAATGCAAGGGCGCACCTACCCACAAGCAATTAAAATTTAAATAATTTTTTAAATATTTTTTATTGAAAATTTGTTTAACAAGTTTATGAAAAGCACTTGAATGTATTTTGGTTCAAAATACAAAACCTATTTGCAAAATCACGCAAATGATGTATAATGAGATGCGATAAAAATAACAATGAGAATATTGGTTGTTGCCAAGACATTAAACTGATTCAATTTTGATCCAAATTTTATCGCAGCAAATTCACAGTTTGCAGTAAAATTGAATAGGAATAATAGTAGATGAAGCGCAAAGAGAAATAATGAAACTATATAATAGCTTACCTGTAATGTTATCGCAGAGAATGCGCGAGGTGATAATTCTACCGAAAGGACTGAAAAGATTTTCAAGGTCTTGTTGAGTCATATTTTTTGGTAAACCGCTCACGTATAAATTTGCACCCTTTATTGCCTCGCTGCTTGGTCTTGCATAAGAAACCTGTTAACGCAATTATTTATATTGATTTCCCTTTTATGATGTACCTTGTCATATTTAATTTGATTCATTCGATTGAAATGATTTACTAAGATTTTCAAAAATTATAATATAATAAATATGTATACAAACCTTAATCGTTTTATTTTGTAATCTTAGACCATTCAAAGTGTTAATGGCTTTTTCGGCATCTTCAGGACGATGATAATTAACGAATCCATAGCCCAAACTTTGACCTGCAAAATAGTATAACAGTCCAAATTATACAATTTCTTTTTCATTTGGAAAAGGATGAATATATTCATGATCCATATCTGAATATATGCACACAGAACAATTGTATTTACGAGATTGCGTGTAATATAATAAATACAGTGTCAGAAATAGATTAAAAAACCCTTAAATACCGCGTCACGGAGTTAAATTAATCCAAAATTTTACGAGACTAATGAATTTATTTTCGTAATTCTATTGTGCGCAAAATTAAATCTCAAAAAATTTACAAGATTTACACGCAAAGTATAAAATAACACGAGTGAGAGGAAATTGATTTTTTTTCAAAACTAATGATCATGAAATTTGTAAGAGTAATAAAAAGAAAATGCTGTATTTAATTACTTTCACGGTAAATTTTACTCTTTACCACTGGGCTTGTGCAGAAGGAAAAGGTTAGTGACGAACAAGTCATTTTTTACGATTAGCAGTATAATTTTTCAATTTGATACATTCTTTAGCCTGTAATGTATCCAAGTATGTGAACGTGAATCATTGTGACACCAAAAATGTACGAAAATTTGATCCGAAAAATGTAAACGCGTGGTAAAGAAATGAGTTTTTTGTGTTGAAACAATTTAACAAGCAAATTAACTATTTTGTTGAAATTATGAATATAAATTTTGGAGACGATTATTTTATTTTTCATTTGAAACAATAAAACTTAATTGATTTCTCCAAAAATTTTTTATATTTTAATAGCAAATTTCTAGTTAGAGGTAACAAAATTAAGTTTTTGTATTGCAATCGGGAATTTCGTAGTATAAATTATGACTTTCGCGTGTTTGATATAACAGAATAACAATTTTATGCTAGAGCCTCAACTTCCATAATTAATCGACTCTTTGCGTCAGAGATTATATTCCATTCAGTTACTATTTATTTAAGATATTCTATTTTCATATTTATAATAAAAATATATAAATTTAATATCTATAAATGAAAATATTTGTTGTAAAAGCCGATACATAGTAAAATAAATTTTGTAAAACTGCTACCAAAAAATATTGTTTGATTTGTTAAAAAAAAAGAAATTATTTGATAAAAAAGTTTTTATGAATTTCGCGTAAACTTGTAAAAACGTGTTACTTTGATTACAAAAAATACAAAATGAATTTATAAAAATCTAAGAAACAATAATTTAAATTTTCTTGAATTTCAATTTTTAAGATGATGCTTGGAAAAATGGGGTTGAAAATCCTTATATGACTTTTGCTAAAAAAATCTTAAAAAATTTAGCGAAAATTTTAAGCGAAATATTTTCTAGAATATATAATAAATGATTTCGGGGTTGATTAATTCTGTTACAAATGTACACATCAACTTTTGACTTGATCATAATTTGAAAATGTTGGTGATTTCAGCATCATCTTCTTAATAATTACAAAATAATATTATATTTCAAATGTCTGTTATACTTCACTCTGCTTTACTACCTACATGGTATTGGATGTTACTTAATGAAGTACATACTTAACGAGCTTCGTCGAAGAACGTGATAAGAAATAAAATATTTTAACGAACCATCAGCAAATGATTGATTATACGTACTGTTCAGACCTGTTCCAAAAACAAAACAAAGATACTAATGAAAATAAAGTCACAATCCAAATGCAAGTACATTAAAAATAATTCTATATTTAACTAAATTTCAATAAACAAAAATAAATATTTTTTATGCCGAAAACAGAAAAATTTTTCATTCTTGACGCTAAAACGGTTGTAAAATATTTTATTTTTGTTTTGAAAATTTGTTATCACATTGGTTACTCATAGAAAATGGAGTGTAGGCTTAAGTATAACTTTTATTTTTAATCTTATACAAAGTTTACTAAAAAAATCAGACGAAAACTTTTCGCCAAATAAAATCGTTGCTGTACACTAGTTTTGTCCACGAAAATGAAAATTAATTTGTTCAATAATATTGAAAAGCATTATCGTGCATCCAAAAGTTTTCGTAAAAACAATGATGAAATAAAAAAACAATTGAAACCAGAACAAAAAGTGTACAAAAAAGAAATTATTAAAAAATACAATGATCGGCCACGACACGATGGCCTCCCCCGCGATCAAGCAGCTTTCATCTGGTGCGTGCTACTCTCTCCGTTTTGCATTGGCTGAAAATAGCAAGCGACGCGCACACGTGCTAACCCTGTATTTTACATGCATACATTGCAGGCTAAGAAAATATATAACTTTGTTGACTTTAGTGAACTTTTGTAATGTTTCACGATGCTTCATTAAATCATTCATCTAGGCATAAAATCTTTTTATCAAAATCATAACTGTGACATCGATTTTTATAAGCCATAATGACTGAATTTCAAATTAATAAAACTAGGCTTTCGAGTGCTTAGCAAATCCTGTAACATTATTCTCGAAAAAAGACGTATTTTTAAAGAAATCTCGTGGATATTCATATTTTGGTGTATTCAAATAGGGAAATCAATAGTTATTCATTTCTGTTATTATAACTATAATTATGATTCATATTATTATTATTGTTATTTATGTTATTATATATATTGTATATATTTTATGTTATCAACAATGCTGTTTGTTTTTGTTGTGACTATTACTGCATACTTTTTCTGTATTCTGCAAGCTACAGAAGAATCGTCTTCAAGTATACCGAAAGTGGGAAATCACGCAAAAGAGTCATTCTATTAATAAAGCGTCAGAAACGCTGTGTACATATGTGGTTCAATAATACATTATATCAGTATGTCCACACGGTCAATTTCTTCATTTCAAACTACGTAATTTCATTCATATTACTAAGTGCTGACATGATTTATTTTCAACCGTCAAATTATTCACTATATTGTTGAATATCATAAATAATAACAATATTTTTTCTGTTATGATATCATAGCTCCACTTTCAAGTATGTCCAAATGTTAATAAAAAATAATTATAATTTAAATAATTTTTCTATAAAATGAAGAGTTGCGTCATACAGTTTCCTCGTAAAATTCACAAAGACCCGTAACTATCATGGTCATTAATAATAGCAGCAATGTTGACTAAATGAGAAAATATACGAAATTGATCGATCGAAATTTAAATTAAAAGGCAGCCAATGCGTTTCATAACCGTGGGCATGCAAACGTGTCGTGTACCTCTATCGGGAGAATTTACTCGAGTGTTCAATTTATTTTCTCAAATGGCAATCACATCTTTGTCTACGACAATTGTGATACAAAAAAAGAACTCTTTAATTCTAAGAAATATCTACTATTGACTTAAGTGTGTAGAATAATTAAATATATTACATTATAAATGCATTAAAATCACTAATTTACCAGTGAGCTTGTCCCGGATAAGCTTGCAGCTTTCGACTTCTCCGATGCTTGAAAAAAGCGATCGAATCTCTTCCTGGGTCATGGTCTGCGGTAAGTAATTGACAATAAGATTTGTCTTGGATTCTTCTTGTGAGCTCTGTCCAAGATTTGAGCCGCCATTCTGCTGAACCACAGTATCCATTCCGTTCGCCATCATAACGCAGTTGCAGTAAGTACTTTCTTTTAAAAAATGTTATCACCCTTTCAACGTATCAGCTCGCTTATCTGTAACATCAAATGGAATAGATCTACTTGAGTAAATGCTTTGTATTCATTCATTTATGGGGATTCCATAGACAGGGCAAAATGTGATTGTCTTTGTTGTTTTCTAAATGTTTCCACAGATAATCAAAAAAGTATAGTTGGTAGACTATAAGATGATTCCCAAGATTTTCATTTTTACTCTAAATTCGGTACTTTCGAATAATTATAATAATAATATAAATGTTCTTTTTTTCAGAAAAAATTGCAATTAAAAAATGTAAATTTGAAATTACAAAAAGTTTTCAGTTTTTTAAAATAAAAAAACTTTATAAGGTGATTGCATTTAAATGACTTTTTAAAATTTTTAATTTGTTTATTTATAATACGAAAAAAGCTAGATCGTTTTTATGAAGATAACAAATAAGATACCGTAGAAAATTTTATACCCGATGTATGAAATTTTAATGGGATACTTTCATTAATTGGTTAGTAGCTAAATACTTTGGGTTATATTGTTCTCTAGGCATTTACGTAGCTTTATGATAAGTATTCATTCTAAAAAAAACCATAAAAATGTTTTTGAAAATGTTCATGTTTACTTAGACTTTAGAGCTGCTCACTAAAAATATAAAATTTACGATTTTAATAAAAATTTCAAAAGTACTTTACATAATTGTTCAACCTTATTTAAAATAGTTCTATTTTTTAATCTAAATATATTCGAAAAATTTTGTTTGAAGTAAAAGCTTTTTTGCTGATTACTCCGAAATTATTGTAATTTGATGGTTAAACCAGTAAGTGACTGAAAAACTTCATTAGAATCTTAAAATAATATTAAAGCTTTTATGCGGATGAAAATTTTTGACCACTTTTAAAATTTTTTTATTACAATTAATTTTATTAATTTTTAAATTACTTTAAAGTTCTTTTATACGATTTTATCGTATAAAGTTTTTTATACGATGTCTTTTGTTAGCGAAAGTACGTTAAAAATATTGATCACCAATGCTCACAATCGATCTCTAATGAACTTATTAGAATAATAAAAATAAGCAATGTTAAAAAAATTTTAAATTGATAGAATAGATCAAAACTATTTGAAACAAAAATAAGTTAAATTATTTACGTTATCATGAATCTAACATGTAATTTTGACCGTTTATTGCGTCTGGTTTAAAAGGACGATCGCTTGTCCTACATACCAGAGTCCAAAAATACGATGTATGAAGCTTATTGCAGGCGCAAAGCAAATTTGAGCCTTGAGACTAAAAAAATTATCCAAAGACCGAAATCAATAAGCATGTATCTTTATCAACATTTACGTTTAAAAACAATTCAAACTGAAAAATCGCACACGCTCCAAGGGTTAAGCATATCAATCAGTCGGTAGCAACGAAGTAAAAATAAAAAAAGAGAGAAAGAGAGAGAGAGAGAGAGAGAGAGAAACTGAACAAGAGAACGAAATAAATATAAAGAGAGATGGGTCTCGAAGGGGGATTATACCTCGCGCGTCCTGTGGGGTGACCGAGCGCGGGTTGTCCGGAAAAGGGGCGCGCTGCGCTCCAGCAAGAACGTGTACATTCAGGGGGACGCTTGGGCGAGTGTGTGCAGCTGCTACTGGACGCTATCCACGAACAACAGCCGGCACGAGCCACCTTCCGTTATACCACTATACTATACTTCTCGGGGAATACATACATGGCTTGTGGGGGCCTATAGACAGTACATATTCTTATTGCTGTACATTTCGTACTGTCTGTTACTTTTGGTTTTTTAGTTACGAAATCATATCTTGCGAATTGTTATCAAAATCGGATCTGCGAGCCATACAGTAAAATTAGTAAAGTTAAAACATTCAAATTCTTGAAATAGTTCTAGAACTATATAGTTTTGCCAAACTATTTTGAAATTTCTTTATTTATTTACTTTTTAACATGAAAAATTGAAAGTTAAATGAGTATATTATTAGCATTGTAGAAAATTATTATCGATAAATAAAATTAATATTTGATACTACTAATATCTCGATAAAAATTGAATATCAATTACATTAAAAAATGTCGTAATGACTAGCTCTTTTAAGCTTTAAAAGCGAATAAAAGCTTGAAAATGTTTACAAATCTAAATTATCTGCAAATTGAAGTTCGTACTTTGTTATCAAATCAACAAGTAGATGAAAAGAAATTAAAAAGTGAAAAAAAAAGATTCGAATGTTGTATGGTTTTTAAATGGAAGCATCCATGCAAGCAGTCGCGGTTGATTACTTTTTTAGAGAAGCTTACATTTCCAAAACAGTAAATCAGACATTGATTTCACGCACACTAGCACGCACGCGCACGCACACATACAAGAAGCTCATACCGAATCCCTGATACCCTGCGATTGGCGATCATTTATGGCTTTATTATCATCAAATCAAGCTCGCGCGTAATGAGAAATTTTGGATGATCACGGGAGATCAAAATTCGGTGCCCGGGATGGGCGCAAGAAAGCGTTCGGGTGACCATGACGACGATTGTAATAATGCACCGCAATGCAAGCAAAGTGGCGGTCTCTAAAGTTGGTACGAGTCGATCAATACTCGAGCGCATCACCCCTCCGTGCGTTAAAGAATGGCAGGTCACAACGGCGCGCGGGTGCGACTGCGCCCTTTAACGTCCACTTTGACTACTACTACTACTACCGTTTGGACACTCCTTTCCAGGAGCATAACTTATTCGACGACGAGTACTTGATTACGCTTTTTTTTTAACAAGTAATTGATCTGTGCACTTATGATGCGCGATCGCGTTCGGAGCTCCCCGGCAGGTCAATGCTCTCGACTGATATGGAGGTGTTTACAACCGATGCATTTTACATTTTACGTAGATACGAGAGGAGCGCTTACAATTTTTCATTTAAACCCTTTAAAAATTAATACCCAGGCTTACCCTTGACAAGTATTTTTTTTGGTAAAAAGACTTCCTCGCTCCGCAAGGAGTTCTCCTCTTGATTTTCGCTTTGATGTGGATAATACTGTTCACAAATTTATACAATCACTAACCAGTGACAAAGATAAACAATAAAGTGAGTTTAAACTACTCCAACGTGAATTAATTTGGTAATAAAGCAACTTGCACGACACACTCGGGTGCTAGTCATGGAGATTTTATATAGACAAGCTTTCCCACACCGGATATCGATTACTGTATTTGTAATTAAAGCTGGAATGGCGGTGTGCTTGAATATATATTGTTGTTGGTTCGAGTTTTAAAACGAGACAGAGTAATGGTAATTAGAATAATGTATGGAAAGAAGATGACGAAGACTAAACACTAAAGGGAAAGAAAAGAAACGAAGTGACTTCAGAGTGCACAGACGTGCTCGCGCACGAGCGACGGCTCAGCTCAAACTGACTGAGAGTCCAGAATTAATGCCAGAGTTACCAGCGAAGCAGCGGCAGCCAGCTAGCTAGCCAGCCACTGTATGCGTCTCTCTCGCTCTCGCTTTAGCACGCACGCATATATACATATATACATTTAGGCTGAAACTCGCTCCCTCTCGATATGTCTGCCAGGCCTGCCCCTTATTCGAGCACACAAGTTGTATTCACCCCTCGCGCTTATATACGCCGACTATCTTTTTGAACCAACGCGCTGCCGTCGCCGCCGCCGGTGCCTCGGTCGATATCGGCAACTTACGGCAATAGCCGACCGAGTGATGCAGCTTTACTCTTATGTTGTTTCACCTCTTTGCATTAAAAAATGGTTTGTCGTTCAACGAATTTATGCAATGTATTATTTATTCCTTCGTCACTGTCAACTATTTATATCTTCACTTAAATAAGATGCATAAGTGTGGACAATCTTTTGAGTATGATAAAGGGCCATTTTTTTTAGATGAGGATTATTCATACAAAAAGTATAATAGGGATTAGTAGATGTATATTAGCGTCAGCTCAATGAGTGAGCTGATACCAAAATCTTTCCCTCTCTCTTGCTCTTTCTCTCTACAATCTTTCTCGACCAAGCACGCATTTGTCTGATTTAATAGTGAACAGAAAACGTACACGCTCTTGAATTTCATTAACAATAAAGCTTCTGATACAATGGAACCATAAGAATTTTTTCAAACCGATACAAAAGAATTATTTATAATGTAAATTAATGAAATTTAGAAACAATTACTTTTTTAAAGGTACCAATTATTTTAAATTAATAAACCATATCACAGTGGTTCAATTTTCCCTTTAAAATACTAATCTTGCTCTACAGTTTTTGTGTGGTTTTTATTTTTATTTTGTTACTTATGAAATACTAAATTAGCATTATCTTTGTTTTTCCTTTAAAAAGGGCGTAAACATTTCCTCAAGAAAAATTACGTTTGAAAAAGCTGATGCTTCCACTAATAAGTATCAAAATCTTGTGCAAAAAAGTTCGAATACTCAAGACCCCGCTATCCAGTGTAAAAGTTGGGAGATGTTTAAAACACGCGCAGAGCGTTAGAACTCATAAGTGAGAGAAAGAGAGAGAGAGAGAGAGAGAGAGAGAGAGAGAGAGAGAGAGTTAGCTGACACATGGACCCATAGTCGTGCGATCAATACACGAGCGCTACACCCTCCCCACTTGCACTACCCTGTGAACCTATCCTGCATACTACTGAAATGTTGTTACCCCTGTCATGTCCCTCGATGTTTAACGATCTCTCTTGCATTCTCTACATTTTTTCTTCTGACCATCATTGCATTTTTTATTTGCATTTTCAATAATTTTCAATGTATTTAATCTGCGCTTCATTTTAAATGAGTTGTTTATAATTTGAACATTTCTTATCTAAGCTTTATTCATTATTGAGAAGCTTTTTACAATTAATTTTTTTATTGCTTTGTAATTCATAAAATTCTAAGCATACATTTTTTAATAATAGTTGTAACAGCTTTACTGAATTTTCATTAAAAAAGTTTAATTCTACGGTAAATTTTTTCATTTATTAAACAAAAATATTAAAAACAACAGGGTACTATTTATTTTATTCGCGATTCGTAAACAGTACAGAAATGTTCAAGTGTTTAAACAAATATTTTATCATGATAAATATACTGTTTTATACATTTTTTTTAATTTTACCAAAATTTTTTCATTATTGACTCATAATCTAAGTATAATTTAAGTTAAAAGATAAAAATAATACATTGATAGCGATGATAATATTTTACTAAATTAAATAATTCTTTAAAATAAATAAAAATGAAGAAAACATACCACTTGCTTCGAGATGAAAATTTGATAATCACTGAGTAAAACGCCTTCGATTTGCTCTCTTGTCAAGTCGTAAAAATGTAGTAGTCTTTTGTATCTAACTTTAATACAATTCAACAGTTCCTGTAGATTAGTTTTATTATTGAATTTTGATTTTTAATCACATCGATTCACACAGTCGTTTAAAATAATTTTACAAGTTCAATTAAGATCGATACGGGTATGAATATGATTTTCTTCAAAAATCATAAGACCGCGAAAACATTAAGAGCTTATCTATACAGTTCCTAATAAATATTAGATTACACGGTGCTGAGATCGTTGCTTGGTTTTAAATGTCGATGGTGTAACGGAGATAATTAATGTCCATTTAATAAAACTGAATTCTGAATTGAATAAGGTATCAAAACATTGTTGTGAGCTTTGACGACCACGCCCTGGTGGATGAACTACGATGCTATTACCAGTCTAGTTAGATGGAGCTTGATTTCGCAGGATTCTGATCGCCTGTTCTTTTCTTAAACATAAGGACTTTTTTTCAGAATGACATGGTCCTGTTTTAGTGGTCAACAAATCCACAAGCTGTATATAATCTAAGCGTTTTAAAGAAACAGCAAAACTAAATGATTCACAAACACCGAATGAACCTAAGATAAGTCATTAAAAAGAAGCCGCGGATCGAATAAGGTTGCAGCTGCGAATTAATCTGAACAGAGCGTTATGGTTTGATATGGTGCGTCAACTAAACTGATAGCTGCCTTGCTAAATGTAGCGAGGGTAGTAGCTTTCCGGCAAGCCCGGCCAAGTTAGAGTATCAGTCTGCTGACTTTTCAATCGAAGTCGGCAGCACTAGTATAGTAACGCGCGCGCGTATCCACCCCTGCACACGAGCAAGGGTGGGGAAAGGCGGAGGCTCGCAGTAGTTTCGCCTGCCGCTCGCTGCCTCCGCTCTGCTCGGTCGGTGCAGGGACCCTGGTTATCGATTCTTCCTAGGCATGTAGCATAATACTTTTTCTGTATATTTTGTTTTCTTGTCTACTGCCGCCACAACGCCTAAAGAGACATCTTAAATGATCGGATTGAGTTTTTTTAATCATTAAAAATAGGTGAAATCGTGCTAGGCCATCAAAATAACGATGTTATATTGCAAGCAGAATAATCATAACTTCTTGCTCATCAAGCCAAAATTGAGCCTCCTAAAAAGAACTTTGTACATTATTTGAATCATCTTCCTTATTAATCTTGTCTGCAAGATATTTTCTAAATGGATAGTATCGAAGAACCTATTTCAGTTGTTGATTTTTAGTTGTTAGTTGCGTTTAATGTTATTTTTAAAAAGAATTTCGAATATTATTGAAATATTTTTTATAATTTTATTAAAAAATCAATTGTTTCTGCGTTAATAATTCTTCCTCTAATCTAATACTTTTAAATGGTTGTACCTGATTATGTATAATAAGTTCTATAGTCATTTATTTTTTTAGCCAAACTTACGCTTATAATATAATTTGTAATGACATAGGTCTTGAAAGATACCAAAATTTTGTAAATCTTTTCCATTTCTTTTATAATCTCGAATTGAAAATTATTAACACAACATAGATTACAAAATTAACATAAAAAACTCTCAAAATTTTAGTCGAAAATAGGTACTAAACTAGTTTACACTATTAAAAGTATTTACATTAGAACTAATGTGAAAATAAAAGAAGTTTTTCCTTCGTGTAGGAGAATTCAATTCAATGTAAAAACATGAACTAGAAAAATTAAAAAAGATCTAGCCAAATACCATTAGATATTCTGAAGACTTCATTTACCAAATGGAAACCGTGCATTACTAATACAATTACTTTAACTCTGTCTCTTGCAGATTTACAAATAGGCGTACTCGCCATCTAGTGGTGAAGGCTGACATTAGTTATGATCGAATTTTGATACATTTTTTGATCAATTAATGCAAAAAATTAGTAAAAACTGGAGTAAAACACCAATTTTCAATTAACATATTTAAACTTCAATAGAGTTAAATTTCATTTGTTTATTTTGGCTTTGAAAATAATGTATTTGAAGGTTGTTCAATAAATTATTTATAACTTGTAAAGTACTTAAAAATTCAGTATCAGTTACTTTTATTTTAATGTCTGACTTTATATTAAATCTGTATTTAATCTAAGGTTTTTGACAGGTGTATACTTCGTGACACGCCCTTTGTATTCATGGAAAAGTTAATCTGTAAATTAGACTAACGATACTTTTGGCCGCTTACTCCAGCAATTGGTTCCATTTTATATAGAAACGTTACTGCTTGAAGTTGAGATAAAAATTATTAATGTCTACATGCATAAAATTTACTCAAATACGCCAGAAAAATTGTTTATGCAATAGTATGACGAAAAACGTCTTTTTTCGCACATTTTTTAGTGCGCAAAAAGCGTTTTTGGACACTCGTGTGCGGTAAAACGTCTCATTTAAATGAAAGTACTTTTCGTCTACTATTGCATAAAATTTTGTATGCAACACGTGCCCAGCTTTTTGCGCACAGTGTGCGGAAAAAACACCCACTCGTGCCGGCATGGCCGGCACTCGTGTCTTTTTCCGCACACTCGTGCCCAAAAACGCCTTTTGGGCACTTGTTACATAAATAACTATTATATTCTTAGACCCTTGATAAATACAACGATTCTCTAATTTCGTCTAAAAAATTATTTGCTGGAAGTCAATGAATAATTGAATTTCTGAAACTCTCAACCCAAATCCTTCGATCTAAAATATTAAATGTAATAGAACGTAATGTTATTCGTTCGTGAAGTAGGAGATTTTAATGTGTTGGGCCCTCTGAGCGTAGTGATGACAAAAAGTGAAGTTAGAAGAAAATCATCCCGTACACGAGTGAAGTATCGTATTTTTTATCACAAGTTTGGGAATTTGATTTTATCGCATACTGAGCTTTGTGGAAAGTATATTGTGCTCGGATTGTGATACTTTCCGCCTGGTGACTGCAGAGCGTGCGGAAAAATTTTAAAATACGCTGCGAGAATTCCGCGCACTATGGTGAAAGATAAAATGATATGTACTAAATTTTTTATTACATTTCTGGTTCATTATTTATTACAGTATAGCTAATACACCCATTTTCTTTGGTATACATAAAAAGTATATTGTAAAAATACAACGCATAGAGACCCTGTGGTATCGTCCCTTTGGGAACGTTAACGAATCACGAAATAAAACACGTAACAAAATTTATGAAGAAAAAGAAGAATTTTCAAAAATATCAAAGACGAAAAAAAACTTCAAAAATCCTCGGAAAATATCAAAGCAATGTTATTAGGAAAAATATACTTATTTTCTTACAGGAGAGCAATAATTTGAAATGTTTTTGATTGAAGGGTTTGAATTGTCTTAGAAAGGTCGAGAAGTCATCTGAAAATTTCATAAAATGTAGAAGAAATGTTGTAACTTTTAAATAATTAGCATTATTTTAAGGCTAAAAAAGGAATTATTACTGAATTTATGGGGGCGAAGGGATGATTTATCTAGAATTAGAACAAATAAAAATTGTTGTAGGTACAAACTAAATAAATTAAAATTATTTTATATAAATTTTAGTATATAATAAAAAACTCGAATAATTTGTTAGTGATTGAGTGATAGTAAATAGCGCATGCTCATTTATATTTTCTTTGGGACTATCACATAGAAATATCGATTAAACATTGTCAAGGTGACTAGTAATGCAAAAGCAATCTTACAAAATGTCGTTTGTTGCCGAATAAAATTGCGTTTGTGATTGTTTGTGATAAATACTCTCGTTCATCTTAACAAATGCAAGAAACCGAATCAGGTACGTACTGTAACGGTTAAAATTCTATAATCCATAACTTTTTCGATGTCGCTTTTGTGTCACGAAAGATCGCGAGCAATGTTTATGTTCTTGGTGTACATATGATCACCTCTATTTTTCGCATGTCTATCAAAATCTCTGCATGAGTTTAATTCTGCGATAGTCTCGCGAGAAGGCGATTATTCTAAAAAATCAACTCACTTTCATCCACGCTAGGTTGAAATATCTAAGGCAGACACGCAACTTTTATATGGGAATGTATAAAATTCTTTTATATGTGTCAATTTTCTCACTATGAATACTTCTAATGAATATACTCGATACATTTAATCAATATATATTTTCAAGTATTTTTTTTTTAATTCAAAAAGTTTTTGAATTTTTTAAAATCTTTAGATGAGGTTTTACTTACGTATCTTATTCAATATTTTCACGTTGAGTATTGAGAGACTTATGAATTAATAAGGCCTTAAAAATTTTTTACCAGTTGGAATTAAAATTATAATGAGCTCATTTAAGAAAGAATTTCAAAAATGTTCTTATGTATAGTAATGAGAAATAAATCTCTATTTAATTAAAAATTACTTATTTATTTAACAATAGAAATTTTGTTACTTTTTCCTCTTTTTTGGGTAAAATAACGAAAGGCCCAACTTTTCCATAAAGCGTTAAGCCCTACTAGCAACTTATCAATTTTGACAGGCAATAAATTAGAGTTTAGATAGACTTTGATGCTTAGATAGATGCCTAGATGCGTGCTAAGCCACGCGAGGAGAAGGATTGAATGAGATCACGCAAGAGCAATCGTTAATTGGTTCTTACTCTAAAGCGCGTGTCAGCAGGTAAGATGCAAGGTGTAGTCGCTTACAAGCTTTTCTGTAGACGACTACGTATGTTTTCTAGATTGTTTTCATGTCTTTTCAACCTGAGCGAGGGGTTCTCGAACACACGAGCCTTTATCAACGCGCTGGTTAGCTTTGTTACTCACAATTTTTGGAATTATACAGTCAAATAATGAAAACGATTCTCGAGAATTTTCATGGAATATGAATTATCATTCAAAATTTTAAAATTATAATTACGTATTGAATTGTAATTATTTTAATTTCAGAAAGTGAAGACAGTGATGCAGAGGGAGGTCTTGGCAATGTAAATAAACTAGTAATTCGACCACCCGGACACAGTGGCAAAGCCAAAAAAGGCCACTTGTGCTTCGATGCATCATTCGAGACGGGCAATTTGGGTCGGGTCGATCTCGTCTCTGAATTCGAATACGATCTGTTTATAAGACCCGATACCTGCAGTCCACGATTGCGACTCTGGTTCAATTTTACCGTAGACAATGTACGCCAAGATCAACGAGTCATCTTCAACATCGTCAATATTTCTAAAAGTAAAAATCTCTTTCGCCAAGGCATGACTCCGCTGGTACGGAGCAGCAATCGTCATCGATGGCAACGTCTTCCTCTCAAACAGGTCTTTTACTACAAATCTACGGAACATCAAGATCATTATATTCTAAGTTTTGCATTTGCATTTGATCGAGAAGACGAATTTTATCAATTTGCGCTCACCTATCCATATTCTTATAGTCGGCATCTCGGTTATCTCAACAATTTAATATCTAAGTGAGAATAAATAACTATCATAAATTACTTTAATTTCTAAACTCTTAGCTATCATTAGTATCCAAATTCTTTAGAAGTAGTTTTTGAAGTAAATGAATTTAAAATTTTTTGCGTAATATTCTTATACCTGTTATTAATAGGATTTTATGATAATTTTTATAAGTTACTACATGAATTATCTTTGGTGGAGAAGTCCTAAAAAATTTGCAGTCTAAAACCCAACCAATTCCCAACGAAACCATTTTTATACATTACTTCGGGGGATGCCTTCTATCAGACATATGATGATATTTTGATCTACCTCAACCATTCATTTCTTATCCAAAAATAGATTATTAGTCCTTTTTCATGACTTTCATCGATTAATAATCTCCCAATCCCGCATTAACCCAATATCAATTGCAAATTGGAGTCAGTACTTTCGTTCTCAACTTCCCCGGACTTTTTTTTTTAGCAGTCACTGTATTATTAGTACACCTAAGTATATCCTAGTACATCCATGTACTGAAATCTAAAATTTCATCCAGCATGCCATTCTTTAAGCTTGACTACACAATTTTACATAAAATAGAATTCACTATTATTTTTCGAAAGAAGTCTTTACTCTTTAACACCAACTATACAAGGATACGGTGAATGTATTTTTAAATTATTTTTAAATGTATTATATTTAACTCAAATTTGCTATTAAATATGAATTCTTCATTCTTTATTAGTCTCACCAAATCATTTTCAACTTTAATAGTTAAGACACCTTGTTTTCTAACAGATTTCCAGTTGTAAAAAGAGAAACTATAGCTTCATCTATTCAAAAACGTGATGTTGAGCTCATCAGTCTTACTTCTGAGCAAAACTATCAGCCACTCGAACCTGAACAAAAAATGAGGCGATGTATTGTTCTTATAGCACGGATTCATCCTGGAGAATCACCTTCATCTTTTGTATGTCAAGGTTTTGTTGATTTTGTCGTCAGTGCTCATCCTATTGCCAAAATTCTACGAGATTATTTTATGTTTAAAATCGTTCCCATGATCAATCCAGATGGAGTATATGTTGGAAATTATAGGTAAAGTAAAATTTAAACATATAAGTGTCATAATAATATAATTTTTAATTTTTTAATTTTTTAATTTCATTTTCAATTTCAATAGTATTTAAATAATATTCAGTAGAAGTTTCAGAAAGTGGGAAGATCGATTTTGACCCTTGTTTCGACATTTCCTCAAAATGGGAGTTTTCATGATTCAGTTTAGAAGAGCACAATTTACTACCGATTATTAGTTAGTTACTTATTCAAATAAACCGACTATCATGCTTTTTTTACAAATTGCTGATAAAATTATTATAATTAATGCTATTTAAATGATTTACTAAAATTTATAAAGACATGATTTTTTCAGATCCAATTGCTTGGGAATGGATTTGAATCGTTCATGGAGTAGAATATCACCATGGATACATCCAACTCTTGTAGCAACAAAAAATTTGTTGGAAACTCTGGATAAAGATGTAACATTTCCACTTGATTGTGTACTTGATTTACATGCACATACTAATGCGACTGGAATTTTTGTTTACGGAAATACTTATGAAGATGTTTATAGGTATGTAATATAGCATAATCCTTAAAATTTGTAACTCATCGGCTGAATTCAAACTGTTACTTACACAACAACGAAAATGATACCTGCAGATACGAGCGACATATAGTACTGCCTAAATTGTTATCACAAATGGCTGAAGATTATGATTCTGATAACACAATGTATAATGCAGACTCTAATAAAGAAGGTACTGCCAGAAGATATCTTTGCTCAATTCTTAGTGAACATGTAAATTGTTATACTTTACACGTTTCGATGCACGGCTACAAGCACAAAAATACAGGAACTATATTGCCATACACTGAAGAAAGCTGTATCCTTTGAATTATGAACTACTTGGAATAGTCCAAGCAATATTATGGCATAGATAAGCCTTAACTAATTTTTAAAGATTATAGGGTAGGCAGAAATTTGGCAAGAGCTTTTTTCGAATACTACAGAGTTACGGGTTTAATACCTACAGGGTTGCCTGATCAACCAAAACATAAACGGAGTCGCCAATCACGTCAAAAACAACGAGTTCAACGCGAACCACGTCCTAGAACCGCCAGGACACCTGCCCCTTTGCATTTCGCTACTATTCACGAGTAAGTTATTGTTTTTTTTTAATTTGTTTACCTTCCTTTTTTACTGAACAACAATTTACTTTATTTGAGGTTCAGCTTAAAATTAGGAGTAAACTTTTTAATGCGTTGTTTTCTTAGATGGTTCAAAAAAATATGAATTAAAAATAAAAGAAGTAATGACGTGCTTGCCGATCATTTAAATGTAGTCATTTGGGGAGTACGAGGGGGTGACAATTTTTTTCACAAGTTAATTTTAAAATCGAGAAATATAATTTTCGGTATTCATAAATAATAATTGTGCACAAACAAAACTTCGTATATTCTGTGCTTATGCCATTTTTTTGCAATATACTCGTAGAATCACGGCTAAACTGGAACTATCAACGTACAAAATCTGTTAACTGATCTGTGTACAGGGGTTTCTGTAGTCATTCATCAAAAATTTGCGGTTGAATTTTTAAAGTTCAAAATGGCGAATTCGTGACATACCGAAATTAAGAAAATGCTTGAGAGCCTCGAGAAAATATATATGAAGGAATTTTTTACAATCCGCTAATTCTAAAGTAAACTGATAAAATTTTCATTGCAAGGGCGTAGATCTTGTATTTTTATCGGAGCGATTTAGCCTCAATCCATGATAGTATTAAAGCAAAAATCTACCTAATTACACAAATTTTATTGAAAAAATCAAGAAAAATCAATCTGAGAATGCTAAACCAGATAAGCCTTTGTTTTTAAAACTTTTTTTTATACTGAGCGAGTAATTTTTAATACTGAGCAAAAGTAAATCTCATAAAGAAGCTCATACGTTGAGTCATATGATTTCCCATGAGAAATTTCTCAAGCATATTTAAATAGGGTATCTATACGTTAAATTAAAAAAAATTTTACAGGTACTTTGAAGCTGAAAATCAGAATAAGGACACTGAATTATTACTGAGCGGTTCTCGGCCAATAACTAATTCTTTTAATATATTGCAACAACAAAAACAAAACTATGTTTCGAAGAAACATTTTTTATTCTCCAATAACCTTTTTAAGAATCAGAAAAATGAAATTATCTTGCCTCCAAGCACCAAGACCGAACCCAGTCTCACCATAATTGATTTCAACCAACTTACAAGAGGTGGTCTCGAGCTCGCTAAAACGGCCAAAAAAGTTACTCTACTGTGAAGCATAGTGACATTTAGAAGAAAAATCAATCTTCTAACATCGATGGCTACAAATATAAATAATACGCGGATGCAAAGGTAATTTTAGCTAGCCCGATCCAAGAGTACTTTTTATTTTGAAAAATATCATCGTATAGTTAGACAATATAATTTCAGGATGTACATAATGATACATATGCAGTATGAATATGAATTTGTACGCACCTTGTCAATTCAGCAGAGCAGTTTAGAAATTTTTGTAGAGCTTATTCTTCGTCAGAATTTAGGATAATTCGCGCGCTTTACGATGCATCTGACGTTGCGCATGCGTTGCCTCGCAAAGGGTGCGTCTCTAAAATACGTCTCATCAGTTAAAAACCGAGGTATAAAAATTTTATAAAATAATTAAAAGGCTTTGAAACTGTTCAGGCCTAATGATTTTAAGTAAGATGGTCGATAAAAAATAAGAGAATTTTCGATCAAATTTGAAAGTATAGATGCTTAAGTAAAATGTGCACTTGAGACTTCACAATATTTCGTATTTTAAATCCATGCAAGCACTAGGAAGAATCAAGGGTTAAATAATAAAAAAAGGGATCAATCTTCAAAATATCTACGTATAGAAAGAATAAAAAAATAAATCACTTTAATTACTAGCTCGAGAAGTCGCTTGAAGAGTATGTATAGGCCGATGAACAAAGCAATGTACGGAAACGCAAGATGCTGCGAAATTACGCCCGGTTGCTGCTGCTACTGCTATCTGGTGTTTGCAAAATTGGATTTATTTGTGTGTGTGTCCGTGTGCATCGGGACCGTGCCTGCAGCTGAGGGCGCAAACTCCACCAATGAGCAACCCCCAAAAAGACTATACATATATTCAACGCCGGCCCAGGAGCGAACCTCGCCTATTTTCCAGCTTACGCGATATGATCATTATGAGTATGCATCGAGGCTGATGACATGAGCTACTTGATTTGCTCGATTTTACGATGATTTTTACGGAAGTCGAGCGACTTCTTGCTGAATTAGTTTTCAACCAGGATTTCAATATAACAACCATGAATACCTATTTAACTAATAATTTGAGTCACAAACAAGCCCGATGTAATTTAAAGTTATAACTTTTAATTCAAACTGTATAAAATTATATAAAAAATAATAATTCTAAGAAAATAAAATTATGAACTTTAAATTTTAAATCTTTAAAATGAGTTACAAAATTATTGGAAGGATTTCTTTTAGTATTTCGTTGTTCCATTCAATGAGGGAATTGAAAGCTTGTCTTTGTTTCAAGTTATGATCCCTGTAAAATCATATCCTGCGCCCAGTGAATAGTAAGTTATTTTTAATTTCTCACATCTTCGCTCGTTCACGCGAGAATTTCATTTTTGGATGTATATCAAAATATGTACAAGGGCGTGCAAGGGAATGGTTTCTTACTTTTTTAAGTAAATGAAAATTGAATAAATAAATATATTAAATTTGACAAAAGCAGAAAATTTTCAACGGGCTCAGAGTAATTAAATTTTTTTTACAAAAGTCGGAGCACTTCAGTCTCAACAAGGTCTGATCAAAAAATATTTAGTAGAACTTTAAAAATATGTTTAACAACATTTTTCAGATATTTTTCTAAACTTTGATTTATAAACTAACGTTATTTATTCGTTCAAAACAAATGTAAAGGCGAGTAAAGCTCAGTTGCGGAAATTCGATTCCTATATATGAATCAATTGGGTGTATAAGACATATCACATTCGAGCAAATAAAGGTACAAGGGATCATTCTTTCAAAACATTAAGAGGTTTATACGTGAAAGCTGAGATATCATCAACTTATTTGTATCTCTGTATAATTTGCACGTATTAAAAAACAACATCGCATATATTTTTAATTCAACGAATCAATCAATCATTTCAATGAATATCGAATTGGAAAGAAATTTCAATTGCTTACCTTAAAAAGTCACTCGTGTGTTCGATGCACAGTCGAAAAACCGCCTTGTCAACGGCTAGGTTTAAAAATGATGCTTTTGCAATAGCAAAAGTATTCGAAAATTTTTGAAATTCTTTCTCACTTCGTAAAACAGTTAAAATTTTTCGAGAAAATAATATCTCGTTTGCACTGGTTACACGAATTCTGTAAGAAATATACAATGATTTTTATTCGCGATAAAATAATATAAATCAATATGCACGCATTAATAGAGAGGTTCTGAATAAAATTAGGACGTGCAGCAAGCACCGGATTCTTGGTTTGATATTTTCAAAAATGTTCACATAGTCTTGAAATTTGTGTTCGAATGAGTCGTTAAGTAAATTGAAAAAATTAACCTCATATTATTATATGATAATTAATAAAATAAGCATCGAACGGAGTTTCGATGAAATTGTGCTTTTAGAAAGCTTCAAACACCTGCACATTTTCACAATTTCGATGAAAAATATTATCACTCGCGTTTACGAAAAAAGAATTGAGGCACCGAATAAGAAAAACAGCTTCGCTATACTTACAAAATTGTGCTCTAAAAAGCTGTTCTATATCAACTATAAGTAAAAACGTAACCGAACTTTTGGAATTCTTCAATAAAACGACAAAAAAGTGCAAATATGTAGACGGAATATAAAAAAAGTTCGCTCGTACGCGATCGTGGGTAAACGTTAAACTGAAATCGAACCTACGCGCCTAACGGCCATTTTTGATCTGCGCGCAGCAGCACCAGCGAGCTTACACGAAGGACTGACTCAACCCAGCCGCGGGATAACGAACTATAACCCGCACACACATGAACGCGCCAGCGAATATTCGTCGCAGTTCACGGACGACGCACACAGCCTCAAGTCTATGTGTGGCCCTTTTGTGGATGGAGGTAAACTGGCTTGAGCCTTGTTGTACCGCGTGACTCAATCGAGAGACGTATTAAGTTACTGCATAGTAAATTACCATATACATGTAATTTATATGTGTGCAATCTCGAGCAGTGAGTACAGCTAGTAAATGATGCATCTTTTTGTTGTATTAAACTTCGAAAGTATGTGTATTTAGTAGTTGCACCTCGAAGCATAGTTCAGCAGATTGTAAAAATTGGATAAGGAACCGTCGACGATTATCCGCATCGAACGTGCATAGCGTTCACTTACTTGCTACTCTCGAAACTTAGAATATAAGGTACTTTTTAAATATTGCTACTTTATTACATTGCAAACTGACTTGGCTGTATAAATGCATTTACTAATTATTAATTTTAATGAAAATAATATTCTATAATAAAAGTCTAGTCAGAATAAAAATTACTTAAGACCTAGATAACATTTTCTTTAAGAAACATTAAGTAATCACTGATTTTCAATACCCATATAGTCTTTATAAATAGTATCTAAATATGCATTTATTATTTCATCTACTGTTGTTGTCCCTCATCAAATATTATGATATATTATATTGATGCACAGATTCAACTTTAACTGTTTTAATGAGCTAAATGATTTGATAGTTTATGCATTTTTTCTTGATCTTTTTCAGTTTGGTAAAACATGTATAATAATACATTAGATCCATGGGAGTCAGGTTATGCTCCTGACAGAGGACAAACTGACCAATCAGATATGGATTATCACAGAGCAAATAAAAACAGTCAATCACCGGACTATGATAATGATAGTGAAAAATCGAAAGATTATCGAAGCCCCGATTATAGAAGCCATAGTCCTGACTATAGGAGTTACAGAAGGGAAAGAGATAGAGATAGATCTCGTGAAAGAAAAGACAGAAGCAGAGAAGATCGTGACAGGCACCGAGACCGTGAAGATAGACACAGACGTTCTAAAGAACGCGATGGTCAAGACAAAGATAGGGATAGAGATCGAGACAGAGACAGGGATCGTGATAGGGAACGACGACGAGACAGAGACAGGAGATCCAAAAGGGATGACAGAAATCGAGATGAAGATAGTCATGACAGTCATGAATATGAATATGATAATTCACGAGGATACTCTTTATCAATGGAAGGAGTCCATTATAAGTCCCAAGTACCAAATAATACAATCATGATTAGAGGTCTTGCTCAGCACATCACAGAAACTGAAGTAAATTACTTTTTATTTTCTTCACTTGCATCTGACCATTTAAGATTTTTATAACTAATTTTTTTAATTTATCATTACAGATTCGAGTTGATATAATGAATTGTAATTTAGTACCCAGAGATATCAGGCTCATTAGGAAAAAAGATACAGGTATATATATGTAGATGTTAAGTGGATATTCATGAAAATGAAAAATTTTGGTTACACCCTTAGTTATTGTGATTAGACACATTAAACTTCCATACATCCATATCCTAAATTTTATTATAACCTGTAGCATGCTTATAAATTGAAAATCCAACAGGTAAGTTACAACTAGAGTAGAAAATCTTTCTGTCAACTTATGCCATTTTGATTTTTAAAACAAATCAAGGTATAAGATGGAATTGAAATTCCTAGTTGAAATTATTACAATAAATTAACAAAATCTTGTTGATAGTGAATGTTGAAGACTTTTCTAAATTTTATAAAATAAATTTAAAAGTCATGAATTAGTAAAACAGTAGTTTTTTGCTAATGAAAGTGAAAAAAGGGAAAAAGAAAAAAAAATTAAAATCAAGAAATGGGGTATATAAAACTGTGAACATTGAAAAGTTGATTATCAATCAGTGATTGGTGCTGTGACAGTTTGCCTGCCCTCACCGAGACATTCAGGCATTAATCTGGATTAACCGTGGATATGTGTATATTTGCTCTGTATAGGTGCTTCGCGAGGTTTCGCATTCGTCGAGTTTAGCTCAACACAGGAGGCCACACAATGGATGGAGATGAAACAGGTAGAAAGAAGTTCAATCCAAGCTCCTGGTCTTTTATCAAGCATTGAGCTATATCACTGTGCCGGCCCGATACGCCCCGTGGCGCGCGACAGGGCACACGGTAACGCGGTCCGCTGTGGGCTGCCGTCTTCTGAAGACAGACCCGGCTCTGCCGCTATTTATTCAAAGGCTACTTCTTGCATCAATTACCATCATATATCTTTTCTTATTTTTTGTATTAACTGCCTCTTCTTTGAGTACTACAATGCATATTTATTCACCTAAATGTCAGTTGATGTAATCTAATGTATAATTCAGATTATACCTATTAGATTTCGTTATGTTGAATCAATTCTTTTTGATCTAAAAATTGCTTTAGTATATAAATTTGATGCTCATGTATGTCAAATTTTTTAAAATAATTTGAATACATTTGTATTAGTACTTTTTTTTTATTATTATTCAACTACAATTAATGAATTCAAACTATTTTCTATTGGAAAACAAAGCAATTCTTTGACTTATTGATGAAAATATTTAAAAATACTTCCTTGTAACTTGAAAACTATAAGCTTAAGATTAGCCTTTGCCAACCAGACGATAAAAATGTCAGAAGTAAACTTTAGGAAGAGTAAAGTAAAGTTTAATAATGATCGAATAGGGTAATACTTAAATCTTGTGTTTCAGGGTGTTTTGATGCTGCAAGATCAATATAGAGCCTTGATGCAGTACAGTATCCCTAAGGATGGAGACAAAGTTAATAAAAACATTGCAGATTGGCACTGCGTGAAGGTTTGTTTCATTTTATTGACCTCTAATAATTTTAGTAGTACTTTGAACGATTTTTGTACAACAATTTTTTCAATTGAATGTGTGTAAATAATTATCTTCATTTATTACAGTGTGGAGCTCATAATTTCAAGCGACGTGAAACATGTTTCAAGTGTGCAGCCTCACGAGCTGAAAGCGAAGAGGGTGGCGAAGGGTGCGATGAGATAAGTTCACACCCTACCAGTACAGTTATGCTTCGTGGTTTGGACGTACTTTCTACAGAAGACTCGGTTCTACAGGCTATTCAGGCAGTAGCATCTTCGCAAACAATCCGAAGTATCCGGATCGCTCGTGATGGATTAACTAATACTTCACGTGGTGTTTGTTACCTGGAAATGGCTAATGTTGTTGATGCTATGTATCTCTACTCAGCTTTGACCAAACAAGGCCCTCTTGAAATTGACAACCGCAAGATTGACGTTGCATATTGTAAACTCAATCAACCGCAAGGACAAGAATGGGGAGTTAGTGAGTGCGCACAGCGCTACACTCTAGATGATGTAGCTAATTTGGCTGAATACAGTGCGAGTCTGTATGCCAAAACGCCAGCGCAAAAAGCGCATTATTTACAGTATTACACCCAATACTATCAGGCACAGGTTGTTCAAGGCAGTGCAATTACTTTACCATCTCACAATCAGACCGACCGAGTTAATGCTGCTGCGGCAGTGGCCCAATCGGCTATACAACAGTTACACGCACAGCGCAAGCTAGGCGACGTTGAAGAAATTCGTGCTCGCCCATCACCGCCAACCGCTCCTACAAGTACTTCGCTAGCGACAGGTCGCGTGCCACCTCATTCTAGCGATGGTAAAGCTTACTGTATGTATAAAATGCTTTCGTTTGCTTAATAAATCAAATAATGTTTTTTCTGTATTGTACATTTTATTTCTTTATTCAATAGCGGTTCCCGATGTCAGCAGTTACCATTACGACGAAAGTTCTGGCTACTATTATGATCCTAGTACTGGACTTTATTATGATCCCAATTCACAGTACTATTACAATAGTCATACTCAGCAATTTCTCTATTGGGATGTTAAGTCATATTCATATAAACCAGTTCAAGGGCCAACACCAACGAGTGATTCTGGTGGTGCATCAGAAATCAATAATACTGATGAGACAAAAAAGAAAGAAAGCAAACAAGATAAAGTCAAAGTAGCAAAGAAAATAGCCAAAGACATGGAACGCTGGGCAAAAACTCTTAACCAGAAAAAAGAAAGTGCGAAAAATAACTGGCCGATGGAAGGTAGTGCTGGCAACGGTAGCTACGGCGAACAAAGCATGGTTACTGGTGCCGCCGATGCTGGATATGCCATTCTGGAAAAGAAAACTAACTACAGTACTTCGGCGATGGCCTCAAGCGCATCTACTTCAGCTTATCAAGAGGAAGATGAGTTTTCCGGAGGAAATGGTTTGGTCGCCGCTTACGGTGGTAGTGATACTGATGACGAAATCGAAGATGTTGGTCAGGAAGATCGACAACACACCGATTGGAGTAAACTCGCTTGTTTGCTATGCAAACGACAATTTCCTAGCAAAGAAGCTCTTCTCAGGCATCAGCAGCTCTCTGATTTACACAAACAGAATCTTGAAAATTGGTACAAAGTTCGTGGCCTTGATCCTCATGACCCTCAGCAGAGAAATAATAAATATCGTGATCGTGCCAAAGAACGTAGAGCCAAGTATGGAGAGCCTGAGCCACCACAACCAAATAAATTGAAAGAAAAATATCTCAAGTCCAGAAATGATGAGGTATCTAAAACTTATGAAGAACCTACAAGAGCTGGTATTGGATCAGACAATGTAGGTAATAAACTTCTGCAAAAAATGGGTTGGAGTGAAGGTATGGGGCTTGGCAAAGCAAATCAAGGTAGAACTAATATAATTGAAGCTGAACGCCGCGTAGCCACCGCTGGCTTAGGCGCTAAATCTTCTACTTACAATGCATTACCCGGTGATACTTACAAGGACTGTGTAAAGAAGATGATGTTTGCGCGCTATCAAGAACTCTCTGACTAACACTTACGATCAAGCTTTTTTTAAGGCAATCTTTTCATTTGTATACAAAGATCGATAATGATACCTATCATTTGAAATTTTTACTATTCCATGGGGATTTAAAATTGTTTTTCAACAAAATGTATATAAGAATGATAATCAACTTGAATGCTTTATACTATAGGAATTTAAATTATTCAATAAATTGTATATTAAGAATTGTCATAAATTTTATTGAAAATTTCAAAAAAAAATTTTTTACTCGATTTTATTTTTTGCTGGCTTTTCACACTTATGTAATAGAAGTTGTATTACAAATATGAAAGAAATAATATTTTTACAATTTTTTTTACAATTATATTTCAAATTTTTTTAATTTATAGCCCATTTTTTGTCACTTTTATTTAATTTATTTCTAGCATACTAAATACCAATTTAATTTGTAATTAAACTTTTAAATTTTCTTCGTTTCTATTTTTTAATTACTTCAACACTTGTAGTTTAGCTTGAATAATACAAATATTGATTTAATTTAAAAAAGTTTTAATTTTTAGCTCAAAATATGTTAATACATAACTTTCATTAACACTAAATGTTACAGTACTTAGTGAATAGAAACACATTAAATAATAACACACATACATATATACAGTGATATCTATTATCAAAAGATGATATTTGGTACAAAAGTAGTATTAAAACTTATTTTTTATTCTATACAAACCATATCACAAGAATTCATTGTAGTTTCATATACCTTTGGTTTTTCATTTTATTTTGATTGGTTTACTATATATCTAATAACAATTGTTTTTTATCAAAAGATAATCATTTAAATATCTACCAAAAACCATGAATATAGAGGTTCCAATTTTTGATCTAATACTTTATATTCTAAATTTCTCAAACCATCGGTATCATATCTTTTTGATCCAGATTTTAAATAAGTAAATCGCTCTTTATTAGGAGTTTCTTTTTTGTGGCTTAACATGTAATACTGTGCTACATCCGGACAAAATCTACATATCTAGAAATAATAGAACAATGCAGAAGTACAATAAATTAAAAATAAAAATTTTGACAAAGAATTTATAGTTACCGGATAGCCTTTATTCTGCAATCTACTGTAAAAGTCATCATCTTCTCCTCCCCAACCAAAATATACATTTGAAAATCCATTAACTTGCTGGAATTGTTGTTTAGTAATGGAAATGGCTCCACCAAAAAGCCCACTGTAAGGAAGGTTGTATCTAAATGTATTAACATTAGAACTCATGTGTCTGGGCAATCTAGAACAGGTATAGATATTTTCTGGATTCTGAGGAATTAGATCAATATCTTGAAAAATGAAGCAGTGAAAATTCCTAATTTTCATGGCTTCCGTAAATCCTACATTAAAAAGTTTGCCTCTATTGAATTCTTTATTTTTACTTTGTTCAATCACAAAAATTGTATAATCTAGATTTTGCAACTGTAAGTACGGGTGAATGTAATTAATAAAAATTGAAAGCTGCTTTAGTCTGTTTCTGTACGGCAAAATGATGGCAACATTAAAAAGAGGTTTACAATCTGAAGGTTTCCATGCACCACCAATTTGTACATTGTATTTTTGTGCCAGTCCTTGAGCATCTATCTTGGGATTTTCATTTGGGTAGAGTAATGTTGACTTTTTACTCTCCAAAGAATTCAATTTACACGAGTTGATTTTAGGCCAATAAGCTGGCTCTAATTCTGATGCGATGCTTTGTTTATCTATGTAATTGTAATGAACCGCAAAACGATCCGGATGTAAACAAAATACAACAAGTAATGACAAGACTAGAGCAAATAATAAATCCACAGCGTTCTTCTGAATAGTTCCATATAGTATTCGAATGATTTTTAAAAATTTCATTGTGTGGAGTATAAGATAGCAGACGAATCAACCATAGTTCTGTGCCAATTATTTTATAGGAATGAAAAGAAATATTAAAAACATCTAATATTAAGATTTTGAAGTATCAAATTCTCAAGAAAACGTGAGTTATTTCACTACAGAAAGTCATTTGTTAAACTGTAAATCTGAATCTGACATGCTTTATTATGAATGATCACGAGTAACACTAAATAGAGTAAAGTAAATATTTTGCTAGCTACTATAGTAGTTGACAGCTGTCAACACAGAATGCATCGTCACTTAACGTCACATAGGCAGAGATGTTTGTGACTGTCGACTTTATAGGTAAGTACGGCATTTTTGAAATATCGCAGTGAAGGCGAGTAGATGAACGAAATAGAAACTTCAGCGAAATTGACGGTCGTGCAGTAAATAATACTTTTTTCTACCCATATAGTAAGTCACTTCAATTCAGGTTGAAATTTAGCCAGAAATCGAGCTGTTTATTTTAAACAGTATGCCATAGCGACTGTTTTTATGATTATTCAAATGAGAACACGATCGCAAATATGGATAACTTTAATTTTACTGCTCTATTCGAATTGAATCTAATAAATAGTGTAAACAATTTTGAAGCGACTCTGATAGACTTAATTAACAAAGCTTGCAGAGCTTTAAAGATTAAGCGTCATAAAATTGACATTTACTCAAGGAATTAAAAATTGTATTAGCTTTACCATTAATAATCCGATTCAATGGCTTCAAAATTTTATTGCCTTTTTTTAATGTCATACTTAAATATTATTTTTACATAATGAGATAACATTGGAGAAACTTATGATAATATTACAGATGAACATTTTTAAATAAGTTTTCCGCACATGCGTATAAGTTAAATTTTATAATTTTGGTAAGTTGTAATACTGTAGCGTTTAAGGTTGTTCGGTACTTTCCGCATTACATATGTAACATCATTGTGACTATTGTGCGAGTACCCGATTTTTCGAGTTTTACTAGACTCGAACTCGACTCGTCCAATGATTTTATGTATTTTTTGGGCAGAAAGAGTATACAGTAAATATTTGGAATACACTTTTAGCTCGATTTTTAAGAGTCTCATGATAATAATTTCTGACATCATCCTCACTTGGTATAACAAAATCTTCGATAAGAAATATACTTTGAATTATATAAATATGTCACAAAAATATCATTCGCACACTCTCGCTCGACATCTTAGTTATGCGCTGACAACCAACAGAAAAATGTAACTAATACTTTTTTGGGCCCTTCCAATTCATTTCCACTTCATTTTCCAGTTTGCTTTCATGATTTCCTTAAAATTTTCGAAGAGTACAAGTCTACCGAAAAATTAAAGATACATAATAAATTTTATAAAAACACATCAAAACCAACAGTTACATATATAACTGACAATACTCACGGAATTTTTTTGTGAAAATGGTAAGTTTTTAAGATCGGTTTTCTCGTCAATCATTTCCCAATTATTTTCTATAAATGGCGAATAAATAGGCTTCCGTTGCAGTCTGAAATAACCCTAATAAAATCAAGTATTTTATAATTTCACACTCGAAATCCAATGATATGATAGGCTTTTAGGTAATTTTTATTTTACGAGTGTGAAATTATAAAATACTTGATTTTATTAGGGTTATTTCAGACTGCAACGGAAGCCTATTTATGTGCCATTTATAGAAAATAATTGGGAAATGATTGACGAGAAAACCGATCTTAAAAACTGACCGTTTTCACAAAAAAATCTTTTCCACTTGTGACTGACAATATTCAATTTTTCGGTGAGAATTTCACAAATAAAATGAATTGAATGAGAAAGTGCTGGTGAAAACCATAAAGCTATGTAGCCTACTCGCTAAATTTTGAAAAACTGTCTCCCGCTTATGCTCAATCAGCTTTGCAGCTCAACCCTCCTTGCAGCGTTATCATAACATTGCATGTACGGCAAAACACTGTAAAGCCAGCAAGCAACAAGCAGAGGTCTTACATGCAAGGCACGATGTAAACAACAGAACGAGTCCAACTCTGTTCTCTTCGCACCAGTTTTATGCAGCTTAAATTTAATTTAAAAAATAATATTCACAAATCATGCGAATTTTGAAGTTATTAAACTAAACGAAGCAAACATGAGTCATTGCACTTAAATCATTCGAGAAATGAAATCATACATCTCAATTAAAATTTAAAAATTATGGTAAATAAAAAATTGTTTTACAAGGTAGAATAGAAAGAGCTAGTTTGTTAAAAAAAGTGTTGTGTTGAAAAATTGTTGGTAAAATTGTTGAATTGAAATTTATATAATTACTTTTTAAAATTACTATGTATTTTTCTATTAAACCATTTTTTAGCTATAAAATCTCTTTAAATTCAGGTTGAATTATTGATTTACTCAGACAGGATAGCGAAAAAAAGGATGTTACATGCAGCAGTTTGCCAGTTGTATTTGTCGCACAAGGCAAAAAACTCATCGCGACAGTGAAAAATGCAGGGCTAAAAATGTGTTTAACCATATTTATTGGTATTGTTGAGAGGTAGAATTTTTTTCCAGGAAAAAGCTTTTTTCGTAAATCACAAAAAATAGTATGGAGTAAAAAATGTTCGGTTTTCTTGTTATATATGATTTAATTCCATAAATTTCTTAGTGAACATTTACTGACAAAGTGTAATATTACCGAAAATACATGATAAAAAAATACAATCATTATTTCTGTCCTAAAATATTTACGGTTAATGACATAATTTGATTCTATTCATTTTTATATATTATATTAAGTATAATTAATATAATTCACTAACGTAGATGTTTAAAACAAGGGGAATGTAATGAAAAACCAGATAATGTGTCAAGATTTTCAAATCATTAAGTGACTGACAAAATAAGAAAAATTGAACATTCAAGATTATTAAAAAATTATTTGATCGAGATAAATGAATTAATTTGCATGTTCTCGTGAGCTCTCCTAACTATATGGATATGTTTGGATTCTTCCAAAGCAGTGCCCTCTCTCGGCTGCAAATTAACTTGAAAATCGTTACATCGCCTCTGGAATCAGTTGTTTCCTCACTTCTCCATTTAACATTATCGTAGCTGCGATTGCATACTATACTGTACAGTTGTGCCAGATGAACAGTCACTAGCATAAAGCTACAGTCGGTAGCAGAAACAAAGCATCGCCTTTTGTACGAAGACAAAAACAATCAAATATCCATTGACGTGTTAGCAAATTATTTTTAGCACAATCTTTAACAATAAATTTTATGTTACACCTCGATTATTATTATTGCAGAAAAAATACTCAGAGGCTCTACATGGATTCACGCGTGCTTTTTCTACTGTTTCATTGGAACTGAGTAAACTCATTCATCGTTTTTCAGTAAATTTGGATTATAAGCACAAGTGAAGCCAAAAAAACGAGCTTTTGAGACTAGCTTACGTGTGTGTGACGAAGGTGAGTTGTTATCTGTGAGTTTTACGAAAACACATTAACCAGACGCATATCATAACATTCACATTTTTTAATCATTACATATCACACGAAAAACATTTCAATCGCTAATAAAAATACGATCTTACGCATAAAATTGTATCAGAACGAAAACTACTCTAAATATTTTTTTGCGCACTGCGACGTTTACAACCATCCGATTACAGAAAGTTTTTATACTCTATAATAATTGTATAATTTAAATTGAAATTTATTTATAATATACTAATAAATATTTATAATAATATAAAGGTGCAAAAATCGAACAATTCAAAACGTTTTTCTATCCTTTCTATTGCGTATATATAATTCGAATTTGTAGAAATGGTAGAAAGACGTAATGAGCCCAATAGGTTCTTTAAAAAACGGAATGAGAAAGAAGAACAATCTAGGATCTCAAAAAAATTACTAAAAAGTTTATAATCAAGCTTCGGTACACAATATAGAATAAAAATAAAAAAAATCATGAGAATTTTTCGTACATTGGAAACGAAACCATCTTAATAAATAAACATGTTAAAAAATTTAAAACTATTTTTTATTATTATTTTTAAACTGCATATCGTCATAATCCCATTAAAATACATAAACAAGGACTTCCACAAGGTAAAGTATCAATCGAGCATTCAATAAAACTTGAGCGTAATGGTATTTTGGAAACGATATTTTCCCATGACACTGCTTTTCTGGGTAGGACCTATTTTTTATTATCGTATATAAAAATTTTTTTAAATTACAAAAATTTAGATTGGCATAAGATATTTTTGTACAGTTTTTTCTGAAAATTCGTTCACGAGTTGACGCGACGTTTAGATCTACTACGATGTTTTAACCAAGAAATGCTGTGCTATTATAGGTCGTTCTGTCAAATTTTTCAATCGACGTTTTGACAGCACTGCTTTAACTTTTTTTTTTTTTTTTAACTAGCAATTTATATAAACTAGCAATTTACGGGTAAGGATTGCTTAGAATACAATGCTTTAACTTTATTACGTTTCCTAGTAGAATGAAGTAGGTCTACTTACAACCGTTTTTTTAAATTTTTATTCAAATTATTTTAACTATTTAGTCATGGTCGCACTGTCCAAACAACAACCGTAAAAATTTGCCAAAAACTCATTAGAACTTTTTCCTTGTGACACAACCGTTTATTAAACAACCCATATCGACTCAAAGATTCTTGTCTTTAAAATTATAAGTTATTGCTCATGAAAGACTTTCGATTCGGTATAATGTTTAAAGTAACGCCTGCGTTACAACAACCTGTTTTTACCCTCTCAGCGTAGTGACTAGAATAACATTGTTATGGGAAGTTAAAGCTCAAGACGATTGAATACAGTACTATAATGTATCACTTACGACCCTAAAAAGCGTACTTCAACGTACTATTACATTAATAGAGTTAATTTTCAAAATTACCATCAATGACTGCTTTTGAATTAAATTTCAAGACTACGTGCAAAGCACCTAGAAAGTCAATTAGCCCTTTTAATACCTAAAGACAAAAGTTAGCTTTTTGTGATGCATTAAATGAATTTATTTAATTGTTATTTACGTTACAACGATTCTGCTTGTCATAAAAATTAAAGTGCCCATAAAAAAATAAAAGGATTATTTGGATTATTAATGAGGATTCCGATTCGTAGTTTTCTCAAATTTTAATAATTTTCGTAAATAAACACCTAGATTTTACTTTTACCCAAAAAAATAAATGATGCATTGTTTTAAAATACTTTTCAAGATAAAAAAAAATATTTTTTAAAGTAAGCGTGAACTCGCATAATGATTTCCGAAAAACTGGTCTGGTTGCCAAGGTCATAATCTTTTATTATTTTCTACTTCGTTTAAAAGGTGTAATTAATTAAACCCAACTTACGTAATACATTTTAGAAATCATGCCAATCTATGTAAAATTACGAAGCAATACCTCAACCTGAAAACTATTAATCTCAAATGATTGGGAATTAACAATTCTTTAAATTATTAAGTTTCGTTTGATATTCCTTTATCCTTGCCACAATTAAGCAAAAAGTTATTGATTAGAAAGTACATAATCCGCAAATTTTTGAGAGCTTAATCTTATCTTATTGATTGAGAAATTATTGAATGTTTGAAACAATTTTCGCTGTTTATCAAGAATTGAAAACTCGAATTATCAAATCAACATCAACAACTGATAAGTAAACCTATATTATATATGTTGCGTTTATTTTTAGTATTGAACTATATTCGATATAATGCGATGAAAGTTTGCTGTAATTAAATTGATTAGATACAAACAATAAGACAATGAGTGACCATTCCACATTGCATTTTAATCAAGGGATAAAAATTACATATTGATAACTCGTGCACATACATAGATATATATCGAACTGAAAAGTACCTTGTGTTGGTCGATCGATGGCGTTGTCAAGACGACAGAATAGTGCAATCACGTGCACATCAGTGGACTCAAGCGTGCTCAATTCGGCCTCTCCTCTAACCTTTTATACAATCGTTCTTTAAGATATCTGTTTACATCAATTTTTTACTTAAAAAAAAAAAAAAAAAAAAAAAAAAAAAAAAAAAAAAAAAAAAAAAAAAAAAAAAAAAAAAAAAAAAAAAAAAAAAAAAAAAAAAAAAAAAAAAAAAAAAAAAAAAAAAAAAAAAAAAAAAAAAAAAAAAAAAAAAAAAAAAAAAAAAAAAAAAAAAAAAAAAAAAAAAAAAAAAAAAAAAAAAAAAAAAAAAAAAAAAAAAAAAAAAAAAAAAAAAAAAAAAAAAAAAAAAAAAAAAAAAAAAAAAAAAAAAAAAAAAAAAAAAAAAAAAAAAAAAAAAAAAAAAAAAAAAAAAAAAAAAAAAAAAATAGGAAGATGTTTATCGTAACGATTGAACATTAAAATATCAGATTTTGAGACGAAGTCACTGATTCAGATATAAAAGTAGCAAACTTTCATTCATAATTCCTTTTTTCACCGATCTGTATATCATGATAATATTAAAAGAATTTTTTTTAATACTCTTTAGATTCAACAATATAAAATATATTTCAAATATATCCTCGAAGAAAAGCTCTGTCTAATTTAATTTGAGAAACAGGTCGAAATCGTATAACATGATTCCAAAAATCATTTGCAACTATGCTTATATTCGTATAAAGAAATGTCAAAATGATCATTCATTTATTACTGAGCTTCTTATTTATGACAAAAGTTTTTTAGTTTTACTTTTCAAAAAAAAAATCTTTCAGGACGTATCAGTGTTATTATGATGTTTTTTGGTTCAAAATTTACTTGTAATGTAATTAATTTTTTACACGAGTAACCCAAGTAATTCTAATTCATGTCAAGCAGAATCGTCTAATATTTTTGTATCAAATTAAGTAAATTGAGCGCTACTTTTTCAAATGAGCTTTCATTCGTCGATGTATTCAGAAAACTACTACGATCGATTTCAAAACAAACGCCCAGTTACATGTTAGTTGTGTTTGATACGGTAACATCTGTTGAGCTCGTATTTTTATTTAAATGGAAATTAAAATTTCCAGAAAACCAAAAATAGTTAAATTTATATTGAAAAATGATGACCTAAATATGAAGAATTTCAGATCGATTTCTGATTGCTCAACAGATTTTTGATTTATAAAATCAAACATTGTTTTTATAAAAAATTATTCAGATGTTTTCAATAATAATGAAGCGATGGAAAATATACTTTTACTATTTTATCTAAAAATTGAATGAAGAAAATAGAAAAGTCCAAACTTTTATTTACTTATTTTTTAAATTCCATGATGTAAATATTACATAAAATGTGTAGCTTAAACATTTTCACAATCACTCCGAATGAACACTTGTACCGATATTAAACTTATTTTCCCCTTTATTGCAGATTCAATCCGAAGCCTGGAACAGCCGTCGAACGGAACATGAATAAATTGTGCCGGCAAGTGTCGATAGAGAGTCCGGCCTCGGCGGCCAGCGGGCAACGATTCGTCTTCAGCTGCGACGTGCCCGTGCCCGACGTGCCGAGTCGCGGGGCGCGAATCCGCGTCGTCTGCGCCGGGGCCTGCTACCTGCCGCGACGCTCGGCCAGTCTCGGCAGCAACGAGAGCGCCTCGAGCTTCAGCGACGAGACCAGCGTCCTCACGAGCGACGTCTCGGTCGAGGGCGACTTTCCACTGGCCCAGCCCCATCAGCACGGGGTGCGCGACGCGTCGCTCTTCCCCGGCTACGAGGTAGCCGGCCAGGTCGAGGCCCTCGGCGACGAGGTGCTCGTCGATTGCGGATTCGCCATCGGCGACAGGGTCATCGTCTATCCCTACGAGGGAGTACCGCCGGGATACGTCGAGTATCTCGTCGTTCCGCAGCTCGACTATCTCATCAAAATTCCCGATACCATGCCTCTGAGCGTCGCGGCCATGTTGCCGGCTGGAGCTCTTCTTGCTATGAATACTGTATTTTCCGCCCACGAACATGTACAGGTGAGCTATCAAACAGTTGAAAAACTAAATTTCCTCTGCGTTACCGCTTATCATTCATGCCCGAAATCTGTAAAATCGGTATTTGATTGACAGATCGGCAAAAATCGGATTCTCGTAAACGATTTGCTTCCTAACTGTATTCTTAATTATCAAACTTATAAAATTAATTTGACTGTTCGCTTTTGTAAATGACAAGAACATTGAGTCAACTTTCAAAAAAAACTCAAAACATATTTTCAAAAACCATTAATTTTCATTAAACCTTTTTCCTTTTAGAATTTACTGTCGGAACGAGGTGAAGACAGTATTTGCAACATTCTTATCGTTGGTACTGGAGGCTTAGCTCTATGGGCTTTGCGTCTCGCAGCTTATTTCTTTTCTGAAATGAAAGAACGTGTAGGAATAACAATTGCTTCACTCAAAGACGACGGTTTAGTGGCAGCTCAAGAATTTCAGAGGTACGTATCATGATACTCTAAATTTAAAAATGACTTCTTTCTTATAAAAATTAATTAGACACATTTATTTTTACAATCGGTATTTGAATTTGAATTATTTAATTCACAGAGTGAATGTGGTGCAATGGAACGAAGACTTGTACGAGCGTCAATTAATCGAGCGCACGATGGACGCCTGCGGCGGCCAAGTGGACGTGGTCATAGATTTCGGCACGACCTCGCGCAGTCTGCACCGAAGTCTACAGTGCCTCGGAAAAGGAGGCGTCGTTTTTGTGATTCGCGACGTGGCCGATCGACTGCTGCCGAAATTTTCGCGCCGCGCCGAGGAGAGACATCAGAGCATTCGTCCCGTCGAGCCGGGCAGTCTCGAGCAGCTCAACGAGCTCGTCGAGCTCGTTGGATCCGGCAAGATCGAGCCACCGCCACACACCGTCTATCCGGCCGACCAAGCCTTCGACGTCGTTCAGAAGCTCTGTCATTCCAAAATTCAAGGTCGTGCTATCCTTCGCTTCTATCCGGCTGATTAATCGATATTTTAACGGACTAATTCTTAATTTGGCTACAATTGTGTGATTTATTATCTGGCTAATCGTTGCATGTATGCAGTTTACTCGACTTGGCTATAATTTTTCAGCCTTTGGTTTACTATGATCAAAAATATATGGATTAAATTTTATAGATTCGAGGACATAAGATAAAATAGTAAATTGACGCAGTATTAAGAAGACAATTTTTTATGATTTGTAAAACTGTTTTTAATTCACCGATGAGGTTCAATCATTGTTATAAAAAATTAGCCATTAAAGATAAGAATATATTATTAATTCAATGCAATTATTTCATAAGAGCTAAAGGATAAAGAGAAAATTGTATTAATAACTCCTATAGGAGGAACGCTTTGAAGTTGAGGCGTTCCAGTGTAAGTTACATAGTTGTTTATTATAATTAACAACATCAGGTTATCATTTGAAAAATTATGATAAAAGTGAAATGATTTTTAAAAAGTAGTCAATATAGTTACTACTTTTGTCGAATTGTAATATATAATTAAAAATTATTTAGAAATGTTCCATGTAGTTATGAGAATTATAAAAATTGAACATTTCAATACATTTAAATATATAATTATTCAATAAAATAATACATTAAATATCGTCATCGTCGATAATAAAAATAAAAAAACATGTTAAAAAGTTCGTAGAACTCTTATATTCTACCTGTCACTCAAATTACAATTATTATTAATTTATCAATTCATGCGGGATTACTTTTCATATGAATCATATACATGTCAATAATATCTTAATCAATATTTTCGTACTAAAAAATTCGGGACTTCATGGACTTTTTTGCAAGGTCCATGTAAAAATCCGAATATATTAAGTTTCGAATTAATAAAAAAATGACTCATGCCTTCAAGTATTTTTGGTTTGGGTACACAATAACGATATCACAATGCAGCAAAATTATATGAATTTGCCTACACCCTCGGCGCCTAAAATTTTTACTATACAACATCAAGAGCTACTTGTATACCAGCTACAAGTTTAAAAACTCATTTATGATACAATGTGCTAATTTATAATTATTCCTATTTTATTGGTAAGTACACCTAATATACCGATGCGGCAGAAAATCGGCATACATACAAGCATGGCGAATGTGAAAGAGGCATGATATAATACCATGCTGTACTAAATGTAATAAAAAAAAGAGAAGTTGCAACATAAGCCGAAGGTAAGAAACATTTTGCAGCAAGAAAGCGACAAAATTAAGTTTTTAATTCGAAGAGCAAAGCAAAACATTAAAAGTGAACAACAAAGCAATTCGGAAAATCAGAACTTTTGATCAATATAGTAGTGAATTTTTATAATGAAACCAAATAATATACTCATTATTAAATGATTCAAGTAATTTAAAAAAAAAAAAACTTTTTCTCTCTGTTGAAATCATTATTTATTCCATAATCTCTTACTCTAAAACATATTTTAGTAGTACAGAAGTTATAAAGTGCCATTTGTACAACTCTTTTCATTGACGAAAGAAGTATATATTTACAAGTGCATTATTTTTGAAAAAATTATGCTAAATCCAAAATCTGTGTAGACAAAATTTACATTTGACTTAATCCCAGAAACTTATAAATAATATTAATCTATATAAAATATTCAATTCTCCGTGTTATAATTGCTGATTTGAGTCATAAATGCCAATCAATTTTGAAAATAATTCATACAAGTACAAGCAACATCACAGAAATCTCATTTTTACTACATAATACGAGATTCACGCAAGTTAATAAAATTCGAAGTTTCTAGGACTAGTATAAACGTTTTATAATTTTAATAATATCAATTTCATTTTACATGTCCAACTCTAGAGATTCTCATTTTCAGATAATTCAACAGGGTTTTATTATTGCAGTTGAAAATAATTTCAACATTCATTTAAATTTTGCATCATTAGATAAATCGGCTACTTTTTTTTCTTTGGAGCGAATTCCAAACCTTTGATATGATTTTTATTTATGTTATATTTTTCTAAAAAATAAAATAAAATTTGATTGTTTTCTTTTATTTTTTACTTAAATAAAAAATAACTTCAAAGTTATACCTGTAAGAAGTTTATATACATATAAAACTTGATTTCCTTGAACAAGTACACTTGGTGTTTTTTTACCAGGCACATCAGTAATAGTAGCACTAGCTCCTATACCTTGACATTCCTTACTGAACTCATCCAATTTAATGCCATACACTTCCAAGTTATTAATCAATGTTACCTGTAATCCACAATTATAGGTAAATATTATAATTATTAATTTAAACATACTTATAGTAATAAAAATAAACCATTACTTTTTTGTTTCCTGATCTTGTTGCAACTGTTATATCAATGGGTTCTAGTTTTCCACTGTAAAATATCGTTTTGCCACCTACAGTAACTTCATGAGTGTGTGTCATTTTTCCAATAAATTTATTTATACCATCCTCCATAGTTATTGTTAACTGACTTTCTTTTGTTTTTAAAACGTCAGCAAGTAAAGGATCAATCTTTAACGTTCTAGAAGAAAAAATTGTGTAAATACTTTAGACTGTATATAAGTGACAAGCAAATGAGGTATGAATATTTCTTACTTTCCATCTTGTAAATTTTCCTTTTTTACATAATCTGTGAAACATTTTCGAATTTCTTGTCTTTTCAAAATATCTCCTTTCCTAGATTAAGAATTTAAATAGTTATAAATTATATATCTTAAGTAAAATAATAGTTGACTTTGATATTTACTCGAAACCAAATTTAGATAATATAGGAGCTACAGCGGCAGTGACTTTGTAACACTCTGATATTACTGGTGAGGTTGTTGTATTTTCTTCTATAACTGCCTCTTCCATTACAGTTAAATTTTTTATCAGAGGATGATCATACTGAAAAATATTTTTTATCTAATAGTAAAGTATTAAATATCATAAATTTTTAGAGCAAAAATAAAATAATTATATACTTTGATATATATTAGACTTTCTACACCCTTTATTGAAGATGTATCAATTAATCCTTCATTTTTTAAATGCGCCAAAAATACTGATAGTTTTTTATAAGAAGATTTTTTAACATCAACTGAACTTCCAGGGGGGCAAGCTCTAATAACATGATTTTTGAAAAATGTTGAAGTAATAATTGGTAAATCTCCTTTTTTAAATGTCGTTTTAATGGCTTTAATGAAACAGTACTGAAGTAATTGATCCATTTCCTTTACAAGGTCATCTTTGCCATCATCTAAATTCAAACTTGTTTCTTCAGATGCAGGTGCAGCTTCATTTTTATTATTTGCAATTGTATTATCCAATATTTTTTTCTCTTCTAAACTAGGCTCATTTAAATTTACCATTTCCATCTGGTTATTGATTTCGGAATTAGTTGTGATGTCTTCTGTCTGTAAATCTGTAGATTCAGTAGGTGGAAGAAATGCGGGTCCAAGGTTTGGCCTTAACGGTGCTTTATCTATATCGCACAAATAATCACCAAATACATGCATAATATCTACACATTTTCCATGACCATTTGACATGTACATATCTTCACTAGAAAGGGAGGTAAAACCAACTGCAACTGGTGCCTAAAATAAAATATGTAATTCTTTTATTTAAAGATAGTTCAATAAAAAATTGATGGAAAATTTAAAATTGTAAAAATATCCATAAAAATAAATGTTTTATGTTTTTATGACTCTAAGTGCATAGTAATAAATAATAAATTATGGAAAAAAATTACCTTATTATCCTCAGTGATAATAGATACTGGAGTTCCTTTAGACAACTTGCCATAAGAATGAAATTTAATTGGTCCATCAATCACAACACCAGGCAACATTAAATTAGCTCCATTTGTCAAATTACGTACAACTGCTGTTCGAGTTATGTATGAATATAGTAAACCAGGATAGTTCCACAGAGTAAATATTGTTGGAAATAATATTGAAGATGAATCAATTTGAAAGAAAAGTGGAATTTTGTCATTGTAATAAATTTTAACAATTTTTTCACTATGAGTTACTACTTTAACAACACTAATTACTTCTTTCTTGGGAAGTAATTTTTGAATATCTTCTTGCTGGAGACTAGGGTACGCTTGATTTAGATCGTTACTTAGTTTTTTCCTAATAAAAAGAACAATAATTTTCAGTTAAACAATTCAATACGCAAAGATATCATTAGTGGACGTATTTGTTTTTACCTTTCTGTACCCTTTAGTTGGTTATTTGATTTGACTCTAAAAGCTTTAGTAAACATTTTTATTCAAAATATATACGCGTTGTGTTTAACAGTTGATCACTTTTTGGGGTAAAAATGTACAAAATAAAAATCGAATTAACCAAATTAACGAGAATCGTGAATTTATATCGTAAATCCACTTGTTACAAAGAGTCTTCTGCTATTTTTAAAAACACCTCGTTCGTTTACCGACCTATCCAACATGGTCTGTGAAACGATCAAGATGCCTATAATCCTGACTTGTTATCGTTGTGAAGAATTATAGATTTGCAAGCAAAAAACGGCGCAAGACGGAGAGCTCCGTAACTGTCAAGTAAGTTGAATACAATGAATAGAAGCTTATATTGGACTTGCGCCACGGATAAATGTTGAGAGAATTCATACGAAGCGAGGGCTTAATAATAACAGTTTATTTACAGTTAAAATCTAATGGAGTAAATTGTGTACTTTTAGGACTTGAAATTTTTCAAGTACCGTGATGTACTTAATTAAATTATATATTGAAGAATTCTCAGACTGAGAATGCAGGCGTTATTTAAATTATGAACTTTTTAGTTTTGTAAGATCACAAAACTTTTCGGTTTTGGAAAATTAAACTCATATACTTCTTATTTTGTAAATTAATATATTTTTGTATTGAAAATTTATAAAATATATATAAAAAAATGTGTTCTTTAATCATTACCATTATTCAGGACATTTACAAATTTATTTTCGAGTATGAAGCATAAAGTGACACATACAGTTTTTTCGATGGTTTCTCATGGAAAATACGTGACGGGTAATCCGTCATTTACGAATTACGATCATGGAAGTTGTGGGTGAGGAAGTCCGACGATCGTGTGGAAATCTCGCCTTTCGAAGAAAAAAATCTCTTCGTACATAAAATTAAACGTGCAAAATTATATTATCTGATTATTTTTTCTTTCAGATAGATCTGATAACCATTTTGTTCACTAATAAATAGTGTGTAAATCATTGAAAAATTTTAACTGCATGCAAAAACAATTTATTACCATATTTTTTTTAATTTTTAGGCACAATTCTATTGGAATAAAATCAAAAATCATGCAAAACAATTTCAATTTTATTAAAGATGAACATCAAAAATATCAGAACATCAAAAATATGCAAAACAATTTCAATTTTATTAAAGATGCGTAAACGCACCAATCTTCTTCTTGAATATATAATATTAAAAATCGATAATTCTCCGACATACTGTCATACTTACGTTGAGAATTTCGATCTTCTTTATCGACACAATAAATATGATATATATATATCGAACTGCCTAAAGTAGTAACCTCTTACCCTGTTCAATTGTACATAAATACTCCCTACTTTCTTATTTAATTTTCAATAAAATAACGTTTATTCGTAATTTTTTCATCTAATTGTAATAATTAATTTTATTATGTGCCAATAACTTGCTGAACTGAATTTTGTACATGATTGAATAAAACTATATTCTTATAAAAATGATTAAATTTTTGGTAAGTGTCATCTTTTACTGCATAAATAAAATTCTCCTACTTAATGATATATATTTATGAAATTTAGTTCACTTTTGGTCTTGGAATGTACCTTGGAATATATGCGAGTCAAAACTATGAGGTAAATATCTCTTGAAATGTTTTTAAAATCTGTTGTAATCAAAGTGTTTACCCATACTAGATCCCTCGAGTGGATGAACCATCAAAGATCATTGAGCGGATCAAGGAATTTGCAAATGAGCACAAAAAGAAATGATACAAAATGCATAATTTTGAATATAGTTATAAGATTGTAAATTTACTACTTCCTTAAATAATTATAACTGTTAACTTTACAATATGTATCAAGTGAGATTAAAATTTTCTGAAGTAGGTGATATGTGAAATAAAAATTTGTTAAATACAGACACAGAAATTATTTTACTCTTAATTAATCATAAATTGTCTATTATATTTTTGCATGACATTTAGGTGTAAGAAAAGCCTCCTCCAGAATGTTCAACTCTAGATTGAGGTTCAACAAATGCTAACCAGTCTGATGCATGGGTTGGCAGAAGACCCATTGATTGACATTTATACAAAGCTAATAATATATTAACAACTTGACCCATAAAGAAAACAAACTTTTGTCCAAAGGTGTTTGTTCCTTCAATTGCTTTGAAACCTACAAAGTTATATTACAAAATTATTTTGCATTCAGTCATTAATATTATAGTGTGATCTTTAAAAATTTTACTTACTTTGTTGAAGTGTAAACAGAGCATTAACTGGCTTTATTATCAACATGCCCACCATCATAATAGGGAAAATCGAAATGGAATTTCCTGCCATGTACATAATAAACAGATTCATGGGAACTTGCTTCAATGGTCCTAATGCCAAATCCCATGATCTCTTAATAATAATATGATTTGGATTTGTATCTTTGGAATGATCAGTGTTATGAACAAATGCTCCAACATGAGTGTAGCCAGGAGGAGATGCTATTTCTACATTTTTTTCTTGTTTACTTCTAAAAATCAAATAACAAGCATTAATTTTTGTCAACAAATGTTGGAAAAAGTTTTAAAGGTTATAACAAATATCAATCACAACGTACTTGTGTGCCAAATCCAGCGTCCACTTCATCTTCTTCGAATTCGCTCGACTACTAAAAGTTGCCATAATTTTATATTTGCAAATAATAATTGAACAGACGATAAACAAAAATCTATTAGTCAACAGTAATCGACATTTGTCAGTACTGACGTAGTATTTTAACCTAAATGTTCGTTTACGATTGGCTGACGTTAAGGTGTACTGCGGACTACAATTTAATCTATGATGATAAGGCGTGTAATACACCATCTAAACATCTAAATTAGACTTTGGACTTGCGAGTTCATGAATTTATCAAATAATTTTAGGTATACAGTTACAAGAAAAAAACAACCACAAATAGTATACTATTAAGATCGCGCATAAGTGTGGATAATTCTCTCTACGTTTTAAAGTTTGAATTCAATAATATAAAAACTTTCAAAGATACAATAGTAAAATAAATTTTTTATTACATTACCTTCAATTCAGTCTGAAAGATGTATAAAACGAAAAAGTCGTATAATTGTCCTTTAATAAGTTGAATTTGATACATTTTTCGGTACTTTTTGATTGTCTAATTTTTCGATTTTGAAAATTTTAAAATGTTTTTCAAAAGTTTTTCAAAATTACATTACTAAGTTCAGATCCATAGGATTATTTTATTTTTTTTTATCTATAGTAATATTGTTGAAGTATAATTCAAAATCAGCTATAACAGTAAAATCGATTCTAATTTTTGTGACTTAATTTTTTAGACTTGCTTTAAAATGAATTGGAAATGTTCAAAAGCACGTTAATTCATAGTCTGAGAAAGAGTGTCAAGTAATTTTTATTTTAAAATGAACCTTGAAAATTAATAAAAAAAATTTGATAAATTTATTAGATAACTAATTTAGGCTGACTGGGCAAAATTATCATATTCTTTATGAGTCAATTAAATTATTGAAAAAAGTTCAATTTATATCTATATCAACAATAATCATCATTACATAAAAAATCATTCATAATTTAGTTTTTATAATTTATTTAATTAGTTCAGCATTTTTCAATAGTACAATGCATTTATAAATATATAAGGTTTATAATAATGAGAGTGAAGAGAACAAGAGAACAGAAAATTTTCAAATCAGTAAATAAAAGTGACAAATTTAAGGATATCCATCATCATCTTCTTCTGCCATTTCTTTAGCTAATTCCAAGTCTTGCTGTTCCCTTTCTCTACGCTCTTCAGCTGATTCAAGATCTTTACCATACGATTTTGGTGGATATCTCATAGCTTTCACACTTTGATTATGTAAATCCAAACAAAATGTTATTCTTTGATGAAATGCTAAAAGTGGTTCTCTAGTGCAGTATATATCAGAAGTTTCTTTACTCCTCATATAACCATTTCCAGGATCAAGAGTAGCTTCAATTACACCATCTCGTATTGCTTTGGCAACAATAAATTCAGCATCAACTCGTGAATCTAATCCTAATTTTTTAGCAATATCTGCCGGAGAAATTCGCGAATAAGATAAACCAATTGATCGAATAGCAGTTTTAATTACATTATGTCTTAATCTCAGAATCAAAGTAAATGTATGATCTTTTCTAAATTGTGGTCCTCCTTGTGCAAGTACTTTTCCAAAACGTTGCAAGTTTCCCAGCCTGACAGCTTGAGTAAGCTGGAAGTATGGTGCTAAAGCTCTCCTCAAAGCTGCTTGTCTGAAAATTTGCCTTTCAGGGATATCACCCAGAAGTAATTCAACGGTTACTGCAAGTTTTTGAACAGTCTGTCTGAAACCAACTGCTGTTGTTTGAGGAGCTTTTCTTATAGCTTGAACCAAATGTTTGTGAGCAGCTGAGTACTCTAGTCTGGCTGCCTTTATTCTACCTAAATAGTATAAAAAGCGAGCCCACTCATTATTACTAGCAGTTTCTGGAAAAGTAGATTTTAAAACAAGCTTATCGGCTTGATCGTACAAATTAAAATGTAAATAATTTCTCAGTAGACAATTGATCAATACAGCTTGGCCTTCATAATCATTGCGCAGAGTAGCTGTTCGTAGTTTGAGATGTAAGAAACCACGGATTTTTGAGTAGTCATCACCACAAAGTTCATAAGCTCTTGAATGATAAAAGTAACATTTAGCAGCTATTAAATCAATAGTTCTTCTGTTGTGCGAAGCAATTTTTTGAGCAAAAAGAGCATCAGAAAGAAATACAGCTGGATCATATCGTTCATTGTCAATTAAATGAACAATCATCAACAGATAGAGATATGCATCAATTTCTGGTAAAAGATTTGATGAGGTTGTGTAATGGTCACCATAATTATGACTGGATCCTTTGACTAAAATTCTAACAAGGAGTTCTTTTTCAGCTCCTGCCTTTGAGTAGAAAAGCTTCACAATACCTTCCATGACAGCTGCATTCAGTTTACGCCTTGTATTTGGCAAAGCTCGTAAAATTCTGACAATAAATCTTGGCTCTTTGTTTTGGACAGCTTTTTCAATCTGTCTGACATGATCTCGAATTTCATTTATAGCAAGAAGATTCAAATCTTTTTTTTCACTATTGTCATTTTCATTGGTGGATGCTCCAGAATTGGAAACGTCTACCTCCATTTCTTCTTGGACACCCATTTGTTTGATTGATTGTTTCTACTGGAAGCTAAATCAAAATATTTCAACTTGTAAATAGTATTAAATAATGTAAATAGTATTAATTTTTAATAATCATTCATACTTGAACTTTAAATAAGTTTATAAAACGATTTAATATAAATTTTTAACACTCAGTTGTACTTTAACCTTAAATGAATGAATGATTACGTCGGAATAATAGATACACTTTTTAACAGTTAAAAGAACGAATGGAAAATAACAAAAAGAAAAAATGCACTTTAAAGTAACAAACATACCAAATAATGTGTATCTCAAGATATTGGTGTCGTTAACGTTCGTCTAGCGCGAATGATGATGCACTTTCGCACTGAGTTTTGATGTGGAGAACGCAATATTGATATGTGCGGCTTGAAGGTAAGTTTACATCGCACGAAATCTGTAGCCTGTGGCCGCTGTGGGTCGGTTCTTCGTGCGTTCGGCAGACTATGGACGCCATTCATAATTCGCACAAAACCATACGATAATCTCCATGGGTTTACGTTGCATATAACAGAGTCCAATTTTGGCACATTTTTATAAAAGAAATAATAAAAGGATACAAGAACCATAAATTTGTTTGGCTATAATGCTAATTTAAAAAAAACGTAAATAGGGATGAAATTTTGGCAATATAATTGTTTAAAAAGCTACTAGGATTTCGTAAATATATAAATATTAAGTAAAAATTGTAAAAAACGTGTCTTGAAAATGTGTATTTTTTCCCTAGATCCGATATTTCTTTAATTACAGTAATTAGATAAACAATTAAAAATATTAAAATAAAAAATTGCTTGTTTCAATGTTGTTCCAAAATTTTAAATGTTCAAATGTTTTTTTGAAGTAGCGATAAAATCGGATTTAAAGGCATAAATTGATTTTTTTAAAACAAAGGGATTGTATTTGTTAGTTCATTTGATGGACAGCTATTAATGGTCTTTTCTTCAATTTTCAGTCAACATTTTTTAACTTATTTTAATATTTTTTTCATATCATTTGTATTCATGAAAAGTTTGTTTTTGTTATAACTTTAAAAAATCTTCATCGAATTATGTGCCCTGCAACATCTCTTTGTCGGAGATAAGCCATCAGTATAAATTGAGACGCCACATGACGCGGTCAAAATTCATGAATTTTGGGACTTTAGTTGTTGAGACTTGTAAATGACACATCCACACATTAACAAGCTGCCTCGTACCATGTGATGACAGCAACACCCATATAACAAAACAGTCTTGTCGGGGAAACTCGCTCAATGCTCTGACGAATCGAGGAGCTCGCATCGTCCTCCGAACGGCTTCGGTGATGCGCTCTCAAGTCAAACTCGCCTTGGTTTTGCTATCTAATTCGAGTTTAATTTGGCTATAATGTTAATTCTAATTAATGCCATACTGTTATGATTTTGATGCACACGCTCAACATAAGGACAATACCCTATCATATAAAAAACGAAGTTACTGATTATACCGATACTTGTGAGCCATTTTTCCAATACACAATTTTTTTCAAGAAGAACATTAGTATCTTTAGATGTTTGACGATTCAAAAAAATTCTTTGGTGTTCTTTAATATTTAAATTAGAATGTAACAATTAATTTTAACTGGTATTCGTTTTATTCTTATTTAGAGGTCGAAAACGACGTTTTCAAAGTAGCTATTGTTTTATTAATGTATGCTGACGTGGTAAAACTAGACTGAGTCCTTGAAAATTTAAAAAATTTAAAAACTCAAGACTTGAAGATAATAATGAAAAAAAGCAAAAATAAATTCAATCGAACCAACAAAACTGGACAATTTTAATTATTCAGGTAATTATTTTTAGTAGAGAATAGGAATTTATATAGAGAACCGAAATTATACGTTTAAAGAATCCTCTTCAATGATATTATTTGCGATATAATAAAAAGTATAATAACGATGATTAAATAATTATGAAAGAGAAAAAACTAGGAGAAAAACAGCGTAAAAATGCAATTAACAAAATTATCCAAGTTGAGAAATCTAAGAGTTAGGATTAAGACCAAAGATACGCAATTTAATTCATGAAAAAAAAAGATCATCTCGATACTCTATGCCGTGCGACGTTGCGGACCAAACGATTGAATACGCGTAAGATGTCATTCTGCTTACAATTTGGTTTGAAGGTAGAAAAAAAGTAAAACACTCAATTATTCTTATTAGCATATTTTTTTTTAATTAAAATAGATTAATCAAGTGCGAAGTAATAGACAACGTATATTTCACACACGATGACTTGGATTGATCACAAAAGAGCAATGCACGTCTTCCGTGCATGATAAAAAAACTTACTCAAGAAGAAATGTTATATCGAATTTGAAACACGCGAGTCCGCGTGCTTTTATACAGTCATTTTTTTAAACACTTTGTTGATCATTAATAGCGAAAAAGGTTTCCATAAATTAAACAATATAAAAATTATATTTATAATTTTTAAATACAACTTGTTACACATATCGCCACTTGAAACAGACTCTCGTTTCTCCTCGAACTCTTACGCGTAATGAAGAATATTCTCTGCTTAGTAAGTTATAACTTCAAAAAAAAAAAAAAAAATTATACAAATGGCCTATCATATACCAATAATACATATAAAGAGATCGCACGCATCGTAACACTCGGAATCAATAAGTTTTATGAAATAGTAGTATCAATCTTTCTTATTCTTTACGCAATTTATTTTTATATACTGTAACACTTATTTTTATACATAACATGAATAAGTTTATGTTTGTATGCAATGTAGCATACGTACAGGTACATAGCAACGTCAGTTGAAGTCATTTTGCTTCACAATGTTACAAATATTGCATACTTTATTGTTAGATGCTCACACAAGTAAAATACTTAAAGTGTAAAAAAATTTCTCAAGAATTTACATCTGTTTACATAAGTTTTACTATTGAAATTCATCGTTTCCCAACAAAAATATAAATACCTATAACATTTTTTACGAAAATCAAATAGTTGAACAAACAATTGAAGAGCTCGAGGAGAAGAAACCATTATGGTACTTCATGTCGTATATATCTATGGTTTTATTTACAATTAAAACAAAATCATTTTCAACAGGCTTTAAAGTATAAATCGTTCAAAAAGATGTCATTTCACAAACAGGAGTCACAAACTACTAAATATTCCAATCTATCAAGTTCCAGCTTTTTCCTTTAAGAAAAAAAATATTGCACTGATTGCTTTTATATATCATAAAATATTGTGTATGAATTGCATAAAAACTTTTGGGTGGATATAAAAAATTCTAGAATAGAAGAAATCGTTTCAAAATTTAGCTAGTTCTTATTTCACATCGAAAAGCCATAATATTTTTAATTTTTAATTATAGTCTATAACTCATTAACTTACAATAAATAGTTTAAGATAATTAAATAAAAGATTTTCATTAAACAAAATTGAATTAATAGCTAATTTTTCATTTATTTGTAGTGAACTCTTTATTTGCCTAAAACTCTTAAGAGATCTAAAAATTGAAAATCAATGTATTATGTATCTATGTGAAACTTAACAATGCAATTTTCATGAGTAATGTAAAAAATGAAACATTTAACATTTGCTTTCATAAATATTTTTCACCTGTTAAAAATATCCTGAAATTCATCAGTCTCAATAACTTTTAAAAATGAAATAAAATTTTACTTTTGCCCATGAAATGAATTGAATGAATCGATATAATGAAAATGAAATGTATGATTTTTTACCTATAACCAGAAAATAAATAGGTAAGTACAAAAAATATTTATATCTTACTTGAGATAACATTCTATAAAATTATGTATATATTCATTAATTTAACATTAACAGTATTTTCATTCACGTGATATCCATTTTATAATTTTTTAACTTTAAAAATTTTAACATTAAATTTTAATCTTTAAAAAAAATGTAATTTTAATAGGTAACAAAAAAGTGTATCATAGAAAAAGAGTAAGTTTGAAAGAATAATCACAAGCTTTAATGCAAGAAAACAAGTGCAAATGATAGATCCTGTCAGAGAGATGACACTTTTTGAATCAAGAGTACTTGAATCTAACCATCAGAATTTCAACTGTAACATTACCTCTCAATTTGTATTATATTTTAGGTATGTACTCTTACAATCATTAATTTATCAAATAAACCAGTGGATTTCTTATGCAATGATATAACTACGCAAAAGCAAAATCTGAATTTTGTATAACATTACTTTGTTTTTAGTGATATGAAGATATTTTTCGTAAAATCTGGTTTACATCCAAAGTTTCAAATTTTTAAAAAATAAAAAATCTATTTCAATCTCTGCTTAATTTTTCACGCTGTTCCAACTTTGAATATGTGTAATAATTAGAGCATTTACTCAAATGAAAGAAACCATAACGCAGCTATGCGTACACAGACGCAATTATACATGTACATAAACTCACTGTTATAATACACCCATTTATTTTTTGCATGCACTCATATAAGAAATATTTACAGGACTCGATTAATAGAGTTTTTATACAACCTCACTTCAACATCAAATCTAGCGCAAACATATAATCTATTATGCGCTGTGTAATAAGTGTATGTATGTATGTTTGAGTGCTTATATTGTGTAATATATATGCACACCTAGTTGTCCGTTTGTAACTAAATTATTTATTTTCCTCCCTCCAAATGTTTTTAATACAAAAAATAACTTTTTCATAGCTTTCCAAACATCAAGTTCACCCATATATACTTGTAAAAAATCTATTGATTTTCTACGACTCTTTTTCTAATTTGTTAGCATCGTGAACTTTCTGGACAAGAAGGGAGGCGAACGCCCTAAAATACCAAGTTTGTAATTAACGGACACTTATACAAACATACACATATTTCTCTTTAAAACTAATATGTATAGAATAGGTCTACAAGAGACGATCACTCATCACTCCTTTAGTCTTCTTAGATAGAGAAAATATGAATGCATCACATCTAACGTTACATCTAAATTCTTAGTGAGAACAATATTTTATGCGAGTGAAATAACTAATTTTGTTGATGAAAGGATCATTCTATTATTTTAGGATTATTAATGTAACAATCGCATTAATTAATGTAAAAATGATGTCAATAGTAATAAAATAATTGCCATTTTAATGTATTATTAAAATCATAATAACAACAACAAGTATTCTTTGTCACAATTTGGTTGCAGATTCTCACAATCACAAATGTAAATTATTTTATAATTTGGGGTATTTGAATAAAGTAGAACATGATGATGCTCCATTCTTGTTCTGATACGGTAATATAATCTATGTATTATTCTAGTTTAACAGCCAGTAGTGTTTTCATGTATACAAGATAGGTACATACAGTTTATCATACATTAATACGAAATGAAAAATATATTAAAAGTTCATGAATCAATGACACTATCATGGATAACTTGCTCAAGTCTCTTTAAATTTGAGTCATACATCATTTACATGTATATTATTTTATATACAACTTGATTATTTTATCATTCTCTTTTTTTTTCAAGTTTCTCAACCCTGTAGAACCATTTAAAAAAAACTTGCCATTTTGTTTTTTATATATTCAACTTATAACAAATATATCGCTGCATTTAATATTCATATTTTTAAAGAAAATTTATCGTCTCTAATAGCTAAGTTTTAAAGGCATTATCGCATCCATGAAAAGGTCACTAACAATAGTTTTCATTGCAATTAATTTTATGAATCTGTTTATATTTTAAATTTAAAATGTAAGTATATAATACATTTTTACTTTATTGTAACATTTCTTGCATGTACAGGGATTATCGTAAATCCTTTTAATAAATTATTCTTCTTAATATTCAACTATAAAACTAGTTTTCTTATGATAGAGATGGATAACTAGCAGTCACTCTGATAACAGTTTCTGGAGTAGTGATGACTTTGGATCACCTTGTACCACCTCTTCCATAGTAATCTAGAAATAAACAGTCACGTTGATTTTACATTTTCGGTAAAAATATTAATTTTTTTATTTGTATAATTATTCTTAATAATTAGAAACCAACTCATGAATATTAGACATGAAGATTCGAAATAAAAGACAATATGACAAGGTCATAAGAGATTTACTGAAAATACTAAGCAATCAACTGTATAGTATATTTAAATTTTCGAGTTACTGCACAATGAAAAATAATAAATACCTTCATCACTTTCAAATGTTTCATAAGAATTCATTTGATATATTACCCTACCCCTATACTTTTCTATGAGTTTTCGGGAATTTCTAATGAATTTTTTTAATGTAGCTACTTGTAAACGATCAAAAAATTAAGTTTTTCACATAAAATTGAGCAATTTTTTTCATTTAGGATTTCTAAATATTATGTAGCTTTTTGAAAAATATTCAATAGAAATCGTAGAAAATATGTTGAACGATATTTACTTTCCTCCTGACTTCTAAACCTTTTTAATTTTTATATAAATTTTTATTTACTGTTATAGTCCAACGAAATTTTTAAAATTTTTTAGCTCAAATAAGTATTATAGCAATTTGAAATACAAAAAATTTTTTTAATTATTTAGATTAAATTTTTCTATAAGAGCACTCCGCGGAAAGAACATTTAAAAAAAATTTTTTTATAATGTAAAAAGCGTTAATACATTATTTATCTTCGGATTCACGTAAAGTTATTTTTGAATCAAAGAAAAAAAAATACAAATGAATTTTTGTTTAAATTCGTTCAATGTATCACACAAACTTATAAAAATAAAATTTTTCAAGTGCGTTCACAGAGCTTTCTACTTTAAATTCATCTGAAAAGCTACAGGAATGCCTAGAAGGAAAAAACTAAGACATTCCCGTGGCCATTACGAAAAATGATACTTAGAAATTTTGAAAAGGGTGTTTGAAAAATTTCATTTTCATATTGCTTCGGTCAACAAACAATTTCTAATACGGGTGAATTTTATGCTCTGATGAGACCTGAAGAAAATCAGTAATTTAATTAAATTAACACTACGGAAAAACTTTGCATTTCGCTACTGTTTCAATCAGTGTTGGTGTTTTTTAGAGTATTTAAAAGGTCATAAAGTTTTTGCATATTTATGAAAAGGTCATGGTTATTATTCTGATCGGAAAAAGACTGAATATTGGAGAAATCGTATTTACGATGTATGAAAGTACCCACTTATTTGTTGTAAATCTATATGCACAGTAAAAACGTTCTCATTATGGAGTTCATGCAGAAAATTTGTTAATACAAAGAAAAGATGAAAAAAGCACATATTGACTTTACTGTGAAAAAGCATTACTTATATAAACATACGTTCTGAGAGTAATTAATTACTTAACCACATAAAACTATGACGCAGAAGAGCATCGTCATTTCTAACATTTTATTCAATTGCACAATCACCAGTATTATTAAAATATTACTTCTTTCGTACAGCAGTTTTTAATTTAAAAAATATTCAAATTTAATGAGGTTACACTTATTAAAAAATTCAATATTTTTGCTACTCTTTTATAATTAACAGGAAAAATAACATAAAAATAGTTCGTAAAATCATTCAAAAAAACATTAACATTAAAATAATAATGAAACATGAAATTCAATTTTCAAGTATAAATAGTCATCATTTGGAATGGTTTTTTAGATTGAGATGAAATTCCTAACAAACCTTGCAATCTTAAATAGAAATAAAAATCTTAAGAAATGTAATTTATTAAAAATAAAAACACTCTGAGTTGAAAAGAGTTTGATATTTATAAAGACATTCTGATAAAAGAGCAATGCAACTACGTTTTTTTGATTTGAAAGTTTAGTCATGCAAAATGATAGTATTTTATTTTTCATCTTTAAATCTCTGAAGATGAAGTTTTTGAAAAAATCAAAGTAAATACCACAACATTGACTTATGTATGAATAAAAAGTATGCATACAATAGGGTATTGAAGCCAAGCATAATTGAAGACAGAGCATTCAAAGATTACATAAGTATATTTCGCTTAGTGGGTTCTTACCCTGGAGGACGCAGGGGTTGTTCCAGTACTACTAATGGACCAACTTTTGGCAGAGCCATCGCTACCCAATGTATCACCTGATTAAAACATCCATAATAACAAGACCGGTGAATAATTTCTCCAAACCACGATTTTAATTTTATTGACAGAGTATCGAGATTTGCATAAAATCATCTTATAAGCAGAAATAAAGAAAAATCGATATTCATATCAATTTTTGTTGACAATTCGTAATACTTTTTCACAGCTCCAAATGTTGTATATACAGCATATTATTCATCGGGTGTGAGTGGGTATAATTGTCAGAAAACAGTTAAGAAATTGTTCAGCCACATATGGTAGGCGTTGTAACTATTTCGTCGAAAAATTATCAGAAAGGTTGCCTTCTTTTACTTAACTGAACCAAAAGTTCATAAAACTGATCAAAGAATACGCGCTGAAATTTTTCAGAATTTTCCCATGACTTAAAATTTATAAAACTTATCGAAAGTTTCTGAAAATTTTCTTGATGTGTATAAAAATATTTAAAATTTGTATCTTACTCACTACATTAGGCAATTTACAGTTAATATAAAGAAAGAAATCATAACTGAATTTGCTATGAAAAGATTGAAACATAATTTTTTCCATCTTTTATTGTGAAACAATCTATCATGTTTTTGAAGAATTGACAATTGTTTCCTATACCTGTAGCTTTTGGATATTAAAACGGACTTGACTAGACAATTTTGAGTTTCAATATTAAAAATCAATGTTAATTTTAAGTACTGACCTAATCCTGAATTTGCTACGTCATAAGAAAGACCAAGAGTATCCAAATCTTCCTGTAACACCTGACCAGTCAGGTTATTTTGAAAATTATTTGGTACCCTTTGCTGTTGCTGCTGTTGGTGGTGCTGCTGCTGGTGCTGATTCATATTATTAAGCATCCTTGCATCAACCACTGTCCTTAATTCTTTTCTGACATACTCAGAATGTGTTCCTGAAATTGAAAATTCTTTAGTATAAAAGTAACTTATGAAATAAAAGTAAATAATTTTTCGTGATAGCATCTCTTTTATATAATATTCGTAATATTATATTTTAGTTAGGACAAATGTATGAATATAAGTTTAAAAAGCTCAAATAAGTCGTAGATTTGATTTTGATATTTGAATAAAATTTGACTACTACTAGAAATGGGTAAAAGTAATTTTATCTATAAACTAGCTTAAACATTTTTTCTTCTAATTTAAATCAATTAAATTTAGTAAGTATGCTGCAAGTTGCTAAATTAATTCCTTAATTACGTTAAAAGAAAATATTGTTTAATTTTAAATGCAAATATCAAATTCATATGATATTAAGCCGAACGAAATAAGGATTTGAAATTATTGAGTTTCATCATCTGTTCAAACGCATCAACAAACTGTTTCTTGATAAAATTGTTTTCTATTGTTACTCTTAAATTTTTTTGTAGAGTATATCAGAAGTACATAAGTTAGCTAATACTTTTATCATATGTGCAGTACTGAATTTTGAAAATTTCAAGAATTTTTTGAATGCTTTATAGAAGATGATGAAGCTGCAATAAAAGCTTATAATTTCCAACACGTTTTTACTTATTTGTACAGAAAGTTTTTTTGAAAGTTTGCATGTGCGTGAAAAATAGCGTTATAAAACCATTCAATAGTTTTTTTGAAAAAAGATAGAAAAGATGAAAAACGTGTTCGAAAATTTTCTTTCTTACGTTAATTTGAACATGACCTTAAAACTAAATTTGTATGCACATTTTATGCCATCATAAGAATTGGTTATTCATATGTGTGTAATGAGATACAAATACACATAGCGAATCTAAATTATATAGGATTTGTATTATTCACAATGAAAATATTTTTGTAATTAGATGAAGTTGAATTAGATGAATGAAAAAGGATGACATCTATTTCCACAAAACTTGACGATGAATAGCATCATGACCCATCCATTACATGAATTATAACTATAATAAAAACTGTTTCATCTGTAAGCCTATCTCTGTAATATATTTCTTATTTTGCAAAGACTAATGTCGCGTAAATAACTGGTACTGAACTATTTATGATTAGATATTGCCGCTATCAATTTAATTTTAACGTATAAAATAGCCTGAAGTGTACTACTGATTTATAAATGAACATATTGATTTTATTGACCTTAACTTATCCACATAGTGCGATCATTTTTTTTTGTCAATAAAGACTTTTGAATTAAAATTTTTAAAATTAAAATTTTAAAAATAAAAAAATTTGAATGAATAACAAAACCAAGTTTAAAAAAATAATTTTTAAACACTTTGTTTAGGATTATCCCTCAAAATTTTTTTGAAAAAACAACATGAATGTCTAGAAAGCCACAAAATGTAGACATTTACGTAGTAAAAAAAATTTAATGGAAATCGTGGAAAATGTGTTTAAAAATAGAAATTTTAAAATGCATTAAATCAATTTTTTTCGTAATAATTTTATGACTTTTAAGCTATAAAAAGTCTAAATCTTTTTTGAGCCTTTGAGATTTGAATAAAAATTTTAATAGTATATATTAACCAACATAACAAGAATGTTTATTCAAGTTTATAGTGTCAGTGAATTTCCGTAGTAAGTCAGGTAAGCATAAGAACATAAACTATCAAAGCTGAATATTTACAATCACGTAGAAGAAAATATAAGAACCCTTACGTCACAAAACAGTTCAATCGTCGGTCAGTCTATTAGTTTTTAAAAAGAAAAAAGAGAACAAGAATAGGAATTTGTATAATGTTATCGAAAATCGTTTAAGCGAAGATGAACTTTGAGCGCATTACGATGATGGTCACATGACATGTATGAGTCACATGACTTACCACCTAGTTGGTGACTGGCAGCATTGCTGGAAGGTTGCGTTCTAACGTCTTGTACATCTTCGGGTCCTGCCTGATATAGAGTATTTTGCGTCCGCTCGTAACAGTACTGACTATTTGGTGCACCAGAGTTGTGGTACATTAAAGATGAATGCTGTGCATGGTTTGTAAAGTGTTGGTTACTGTTGGCATTATGCTGATTATGCGACGGTGTTGCTGAGCAACCCGCAAGGCTATGACTAGGCGACATTAAAGATTGCTCCTTGTTTATTCCACCGTAATGACAGGGCGAACCGACCCCACCTGTAACATTAATTATGTCTAGGATCTTCAAGTACTCTGCGTCATCTGCATTAGTGACAGTTTCGGAAGCTGCTTTTTCCTTTCTTCAGGCCACTTCGATTCAATCACGGGATTATCAATAATATTTTTGTTATGTTTAATTAAAAATATGGTTAATACACGAAGAATAACTCGTTGCAGTGTTCCGTTGCTTGTTGTTTTATCGTTCACTAAGGTTGAATCCGACGTTTTTGATTAAAAATTTGGGAAGTGAAACATTGAAATAATTACCTGATACTTGAGTAGTTGTCGTTGACGTAGATATTGCACGTTGTAATCGATATTGAGGCGATGCTATCGAAACGTTTGTACTTTGGGCAGGAGGAAATTGACTGGCCGTCGGAGATGCAGGTGGTGGAAAAGCTTCAGCTGGGTACGGCGATTGTCGTGCCGAGACGGGAGTTCCCGGAGATGACATCGATCGTTGTTGTTGTAACCCTGGTTGCTGATTCGTTATTTGTTGCGTACGAATCTGATTGAATATACGTGGATTGGAAGAATAACCAGACTACAATTGACAAATGATCACATCGTTATTTTTTCATCATTTTTTTTAGTCAATATATGATAGGGACAAATATTTATAGTAACCTGTTGAGTAACCCTTGGCGATAAAGGTTGAGGATGCGAGAAAGGCAGTGTATTCACCGGCGAATGCGGTGATAATTTCGCAGCGGCCGTTACTTGTTGACCATTGTTGAAGGTATTGTTAACGACCGGACTAAAAATTAAATTGGCAAATTAAGTTTAAATTTTAATAAAATCCACGATTGTCGTTATTCAAATTAATAAAAAGATGCACATACTGTTGTGCTAAAGTAGAATATGCTTGTGGAAGGCGATGTTGTTGCCCTTGAGGCATTTGGACGGATCCACTATAATTCGGAGATACTTGTGATTCTGACAGACTCGATCGCTGAAAAAGTAACGTATTCTTCGAATACAATCAATTTATTTTATGTTTTAAAAAGTTTCATCGTATAAATAAAAACATTAGAGAGTAATTTTGATATTTCCCGACAAAAATTTACATTGTATGTGTTATAAGTCTCGGTTAAAATTTACTTTAACTATGTGATACGTGTAATAAATAATTAAATTCATCATTTTTATTTTCTCGCAGTCATTAGTAATCTTTTTAACCCTTACCTGTAAGGTCACATTTGGCGCAACTGTGTTATTCAAAAGATTATCAATATTTTGAATGCCTGTAGATATTTGGTCTGGAGCTGTTGCATTTGAAGGAATAAGTAACTGTTGCTGCTGCTGTTGTTGTAACAATCTTTGTTTGAGTTGCTGCTGCTGCTGTTGTTGTTGGTGATGCAACAACTTTCGCTGAATTTGCATGTGTTGTTGCTGCTGTTGTGGAGGAAACTGGGCCGCAGCTTGCCGAATTCCACTTTGAGCCGTGCCTAATCGATTTCGAGCTTGCTGTTGTTGCTGAAGCTGCATTTGCGCATGCTGTTGATACATCGGAGGCGGTTGATAATTTTGACTCTGAGTCACTGAGGAATTCGCCAGCTGAAGAAATACGTACATGTTAATTTCTATAATACATAAGTATTTTAAATTTGAATAGTTTGAGATAAATACCGCAGTAGAATAGGAAGGCGGCGTCCCAGTTATGGTCATACTGGTAGACGTTGCATTGACGTCCGACTCAACTCGCATTAATGATTCTTGAATTGCATTTATTGCCAGTTTTTCGTTACGCTGCGCTATAGCTTTGTCCAGCAAACTCGGAGCGTTTTTATTTTCTAAAAAATAAAACGAAGCATATGATTATAAGAGATAACAAGAATTCTAAGTAATAGATAAAAATGATGTGTACCTGGTACAATATCTATAAGACTATCAAGAATCTGCGAAAGGCCAACAGCATCAGACCCAATTTCTAATTCCGACGAATCAATCGATGGTTGCCTGTAATCTTGGGTACTCAAGAAATCAGCTTCCATCTGTTCTGATTGCGAATTGCGTTGCTGAAAATAATTTTTAATGAAAGAATTATTTTTTGAATTGTCATATTTTACAGCGCAAATAATTGCATTTTTTTTTTTGAAAAATAAGTTTAAAGTATAAGTAAGAATAATTAAAAATACTTTTTTTATTTAATTTAAAATCGATATGTTTGTTGAAGTAAAATATACTATGGTTCTGAGTGACCAATGCTCTTATAGATGCCGAAATCTTATCTTTAAAATGCAATAAAATAACATGATAAAATTTATCTAGATGCCCTATAGTTAAGCTTTGCAACATACATTCAAAGCTTTTAAATTATACATTATTTAAAAATGTTTTCAAACGTACTTGGTGCATAAGATATGGATTAGGCGGGTGGTGAAGTTGTTGTCTCATTTGTAGTTGTTGCATGGACGTTCGATTCGATGTAGAGCTTGCAGCAGAGACATTACTAACAACAGGTTGTACAGGGCTATTCGACCACGACTGTTGTTGGTGTTGAGCTTGCTGTTGAGCTTGCTGTTGAGCTTGTTGTTGCTGTTGTTGTTGATGCTGCTGTTGTTGTTGTTGTTGTTGTTGTTGTTGCTGCTGCTGCTGTTGCTGTTGTTGTTGTTGTTGTTGTTGTTGTTGTTGTTGTTGTTGCTGTTGTTGTTGCTGCTGCTGTTGTTGTTGCTTACGTCCAGCAATATTGCGAGGTAATTTATCTTGAGGAGTAGCCGAAAGCACAGAATCAGGTACTGGAGGTATCGTAGCTGGTTGCGTGGGTTGCTTAGCCAACAATGACGCCAGCATACGATTCTTTTCCCAAAGTTTGCTAGGATTATTGGAAGCAGAAGAACTCACTTGAGTACCATCCTTGCCACGTTTTCCAGATGTTTTGTGCTCAGAACCGTCGGCAGGCCGTTTCTGACCATGTCCTAGGCCGCTATTACCGGCAATTTGACCTCCATGATCAGACTCGGAACTAGTAGGCGACGATCCACGAAATCCCAAACTTCTCAACAGCTTGTCTTCACTGTTTTTACTTTTAATAAACTTTTCATTGTCATTGTCCTTAAGTAATTGTGTGAGTAATTCATTTCGTTTTTTGACAGAACCACTGGTTCCCTCTTCGTCGTCGTCATTTTTCTCATTTAATAATTGCAACAACATGTTGTTGCCAGACTCCATGGAATTAGATTTCATTTGCTCTGTAATCTTGGATTGTGCTTGTTTGTTCACCGTCATCGCTTCCAGTTGGTCTGATTGCTGTTGCTGCTGATATTCTTCTTCATCTTGCTGATTCAAAAGAATTTTAAGAATACGATTTGGTTGCTTATCGTCCTCCATAATTTCATCAGGTAATTGTTCGGTTTCGCCATTCAAACCACCACTACCTTTGGTCAATAAGTTACGCAATCTACCAGACTCTACTTTGTGCAGTTGAGGTGGCTGCTCGGTCGACTTTTCTATAGGACCATTATTTCGCGTCGATAGTTGCTGTTGCTGAGACTGATCGACTGGACTAGATTGTCCAAGACTGGCAGATTGAGTTTCTTGCAATGGACTAAACGGAAATGGATTGTTGAAAGGATGTGCTGTATTTGGACTGAAGGCTCGCATAGGACTGCAGTGAGCCGGAGTCACAGCAGGTGAGGCAATGATCGATGTGTTAGGCTGAGAACTCGTCCTAGAGCTCGGTCTTTGCCGCGAACCACTCGGAATTTGACGTGAATCTGTTCTATTCGTAGTTTCCACCGAACTCCAAAAGTTACCGTTGGCTTCTTCCATATCTAAACTTGCATTCGAGAACAGGTCAAATTCAAGATCCATACTAGCAGCCGAGTTAAACTGATTGTATTCGGATTCGTTTGGGAAATTACTGGAGGATCGTCCACTAACATTAGACCCCATACCAGTCCTCACTTGTCCATTCATTTGGCCGGCTACCGAAATGAGGGGTCCTCCAACGTTATTATTGCCAATACCTAGAGCCATCCCACTATTGTTACCGACAGGACTAATGCTTCCATTACTTGTTCCACTGCCGGTCATTAAATGAGATAAGCCACTGGAATGACCTGCGCAAATTTTTGTACTGATGCAGGTAGCTTGTGCATGGGCTACTTCTAACGATGCATAATCATTATCTCTGAAATCACAGATTGGAAAGAGAATAATTAGTATTTAGATTCAAGTATCACTTTTTGTATATAACGCTATTAAAAGATTAACCAAGCGCCTTTTAGTACTTCAACTTTTACAATTCACTATTTTCATGCTGGTGGATATATCTCAATTATCGAAATACATTCAAAAATGTTCTCCAGGAATCAGCATAGCTTTTTCTCAGTGTAACGGTACTGTCATTGAGCTTTTTTGCTAGGATATTCATTTCAAATATGATTCTAATTGCATACAATTACTTAAATTTACTATTCGAATTTTTTTATCGAAAAGTTTAAAAATGATTCCAGATATTAATATGATTGTTTTGGTAGCTTTGAAAATAATGCTTTTGAAACCGTTTTTGAAAAAGTTAATTAACGTAACATGATAAACATGTTATTTTACCCCAGTATTGAATTAGCGGACATAATGAAGTCTTTTTCCGTTCCACACGTTGAATTCGTTTTGAAAAGTTTTGATTTCGTTTGGACATTGAGGAATGTATCCTTTGTTATGACCAATCGATACACTTGACTGATGCTTTCTCCAATTTGTAAAGTATCTCTTAAATGAGTTACTACTTTATTGAGATCATTTGGGTGGCACAAATCTTGAATTTTTTTATTGATTAAATCCTGCAAGGAAAAAATGTCGTTAAAGCTTTCTTGTGATTATTACAAAATTTGCAGAGAAACGTATTTATTAAAATTAAAAAAAATTAAATATACGGCAAAAATGTTTAAAATAGAATAATAAAATTAAAAAATGAACTATGAAAACTAACATTTAAAAGGGATGATTTTAAAAATTTAATTATCAAATAAATGCAATAATTATCAAACTGATTAAATTGGATCTTAAAACGATAACTTAAACGAAATTCGCCACAATTATTTCACCTTATTTTCCAAACATTTCATTATTTCGGGTTTGAGCCAGTTGGTGTCAATACTGAGAATTTTTCCATTTGTATCAATTTTGAGGGAGAACTGGCCGATGTGCTTTTCATCGAGAGGCACTCGGCGGGCTACGCACATGACACACGGCCCCATGTCCGAAATCTCGCTGACGTCACTGTTTGGCTCGCTCCTACCGGCCACGCTCGCAACATTGACGCTTCCATTTGCTCCAATTGCAGGTAGACCGAGCGCGCCGTTTATCAAGCCGCTGGTATCATTTAGTAAATTTGACGATATCTGCATTGTCTCGTACTTGGAAACACGCTGTTGCTTCTCTTCCATTGTCTCTTCTTTGTCGTCGGGTGGTTTCACCAAAAAACGACATTCAAAGGTACGATTACGCGTTTGCACTTGAGGCTCATTTGACCAACCAGCTGTAACAAAACGAATTGTAATTAGAAATTATCGCATGTCTCTTAGTAGACAAAGAGAAAATTGATAGAAATGCTTTTCATAAGTCTACCATTCGTATTAAATTAAGTATAGAAGTATGAGAGATAGAAGTGTATACTACTTGATTTTAATTTTTTGAAGTGAAAAAATCTTTTTTTTTTAATTTCGGCGTAACTTTAAACTTCTTACAGTATTGGAACTACTAGTTTGATACCATACACTTTGAGAGAAGGAAGACAGTGAGATTTGAATTCCAATAAATTGCACGATTCTTACCTACTGACATCGGTAAAATACCCGGCATAAATTTATTGTGATCTCCGTGGTGAAGAATATTATAAATATCTTTTCCAAGCACATCCTTTCTAGTATAATTTATATAATCACTGATATTTTCTGAGACGAATTCCACTCGGCCTTCAGGGTTCACAACAAACATGAAACCATCTAATGCCTAAAACAAATTTTAAGAAACACATTAGAATATTTTAATTCGGTTCATGAGAATTTATGAGTATTTGATGAGTATTTTCCATACGAGTTCCATCTAACAGTGCTTTGACTATCTCGGTGAAAATGTGAACGATTTTGGGTACAAAATGTGTAGTGTCTCGTGAGATGTAATTTTTATTTTATTCCTTGAAATTCAACATAAAAAGCGGATTGAATAATATGAAAATTTCAAGACAAAGCACACTATTTAAGGCCATCATACCACAAAGGACTCTTTTTATATTCACTAAACTTTACTCTTAAAACACGGTGAATTTATCATTAAACTAATGGAAGATTTACATGAAAAATGATGAGATGAGAAATGAGATGAGAAATGAGATGAGAAATGAGATGTGAAATGAGATGAGATCAATACTCACTTCCAACAAAACAGATCCTACTTGATCGTTAGAGAGAACATTGGGATTAGACGAAGATACTTCACCTTGTTGGACAGCATGATTATGAAGTCTCGTTTGTTCATTAATTTGTCGAATCTACAAGCAGAGATAAAATTGTGTCAAAATCAATACAAAATTTATATCTTATTTGAATTTAATTTTGCAAGATTCTAAACAAACTTCCATCATTTGCTTGATTTTAATAATAACAAAGAAAAAGAAAAAAAACTCCAAGTTAACAATGAAACACTCGATATGAAATTAGTCTTTGATGATTAAAAAAATCCAGCAACCTAATTCAAAGATCACACAACTTCGTCGCTCACGATACAAGTGCCATAAGTAGCGATTTTTGAGTGCGCCTAATAGCCCAGCATAAAAGTTTCCGCTATGGCAAAAAGTGTTACTTATGATACTCGTATCGTAAATCAATACTCGATACTCTCGCATATCACTTTTTGGCATGGCTCTTATAGTATGCTTTCGATCGATTATTTTCGATTAAGTTGTGAGTGCAGAGACAGAGATTTGAGTAAAAAAAACTTACTTGGTCGACGGTTTTTTGCAGAATTTGACATTTGTCAGTTTTGCCAGAGTTCATATCCGACACGGAAATCAGCTCAGCAAGTTCGTCGATGAATCCGTTTTCATGGGTCCGTCGACGCTTTTCATTAAGGCACTTGTTACTGCGCAGAAAAATATAAATATTTTATTAAATTTACAGCTGAGGCATCGTTCAGTTCAATAAATAACTATCGGAAGGGATTATTTTTCTCTAAAATTTGATTCAAGTGGCATTACGCACGCTAAAAGTACGCAATTTTTTATTACTTGTGACTTATGATAATCATTTTCAATAGAAACGGTTTCTATTTCATTACAATTTTTGAGGATTCGTCTGATTGACGACTGTGACACTTAAACTTGAATAAATCCTTTTTAATTTTGCTACTGCTTTACGAAGACTTGATTACGTTGAACTTAGATCGTGTCTTAGCATTTTAAAATTCAAACTTTATTTATGTTTTTTAGGTGTTATTCTAACAACGTTTGATCAAATTACACAATCCATGTAAATGGATTTTGATTACAATAAACCAACATCAGCATCTTAAATATACAGGTAAAGTATAGGAAAAAGTCAGGGCCATTTGTTTAGATTACATTGCGCGGATTCTACTGTTATATTTTAAATCCTTCTGTAAGGTCCTTATACAACTTATTTGCAATTTTTTAAATTCAATGTATTTAGAGTAACTAAAAAACAATTTTCTCGGCTTTGCATTATCAAGCGTTTGCAAGTAATTTATAGCAAGAGTTATATGCACTTTAAATTAAAAAAAACTCCTGACTTCAATCAATCGCTTTTAAATTTAACAACGTTTCACTGCGAGATTTGTAGCTTTTTCAAGTTTTAAAATTAATCAATACATATGGTCTCTGTGAGAGCCGAGAAATCAACGTTGTGTTAAAATTAAAAGTGATTGATTGATAGGTAAGGAGTTTTCTAATATAAAGTGAATTCAAGCTTTATTATTTTGCGTATTTAATTTAAAAAAATAAATAAAAGTTGAAGGACATTAATGAAGTAAATATGTATTACAGCTTTAATGCTTTTCTCACTTCCCCATAGCATCTACATCACAATTTCGGACAGAGGGATCAAATATATCGATCGATTTTGAGACATTTTATCATTACTAAAACATTTAAAAAGTATTTCGATAAAATTATGTTCAACTTTTGAAACCTGATCAAGTTAATTATAATTCTAGGACTTATAAGAAATACTTAAGAATTTCATTTTCTGTATCAGAAACGCGAGACAATTCGTTCATTAATTTTCGCGTTAATATGAATGGATAATAAGGCTTATCAGTTAAAATTAAACTTACAGTTGCGATTGTGGCTTAGCATCTGACTTTTTTCTTTTTTTATTGTTGTTTCCAGTAATAGCATTCATTTTGTTGACCCACAGTGGGTCTTGCAGGTCACACGGGCCAGGCCTGTAAATCAAATGAAACTGTTAGATTAAGATTGAAGATTTTTTTAATATAAATACATATAGCTACTATGTTTCATTTTTACTTCAGCACTAATTTTCAAAACGATAAAACTACTCATGCGCAGTTTGATGATTCATAGAAATGAATGCGTGCAAACAGTTTACCGCGCATTAATGAGACATTGGGTCATCTTAACAAAGTACGTGAACTGATACGGTCATTTACGTACCGAACGAAAATATCAAATATTTTTTTTCTAATTCTATTGTGTCATTATTACGGTATTAATCTAGATTTAATTGAATTAATGTGAGATTGTATACTGTAATTTAATTGGTGAAGATTTAATTTAATATTGTGGAAAAATCTTATTTATAGATAGAGAACGTTCGAATTATTTTCCGTGTGAGTTGCCAAAGCAATGGTAAAAATGAACATTTTTACACGCTGTTTCATTTCAGACGATATGATTTAAAAAATTTCTAGTCACTACATTTCATTTTACCCTAAACTAGATTCATTATCCTTGCAATACAAAAGAAGAATCATTGCAACTTTATTGTTTGTCAATACGAGTAAGAAATATTCTTATCGAGTTTTTTGCTTTAATCACAACTAAATAGGAGTCATCGCAATGAATGAAGATAGCTCGCACGTGTGGTGAGTGGCTACAATAATCGAATATAATTGTAATACTCATGTAAATACATATTAAACCACCTTGCATTACAAAGAATAGAGACCGGCATAAGACAGACGCGGCCGTCACCCAGTTCTGATAATGAGAGCGAGTAAAAGCATTATGGAACTTTTCACCTCTTCACGCAATTTTCAGTGCTCAGGCTCACATCTTCGTCTCTCCTGACAACAAACGACGACGACGACGACGAGGAGCCTTCCGCCGCGGCGGACTCTCGCACGAAAGAGAATAACATATCTGTGGAGGCTCGTATAGAATCGATTATTATTCGGGGAGGAGCGGTAATATTATCCTGACTCGTGTATGGCACTTTCGGCTGAATTTCGCGAGGACACATATGGTTACTAGAATTACAACAGGACTAGTGATGTACGACGAAATGTGTGCGGTCGCGAATCGTCCCAAAATGGATGACTTTATCGACTGGGGGGACGACGACAACGACAATAAAAAAAAAAAAAAACAACAACTTTGCACTAGGCGCACTGCACACGTTTTGCGAACTGTACACATGCGAGAGCTGCTATACTATAGTATTGTGCTACTATAGAATTGTCTTCATACACCGCGAGTGAATATTCTTTGCTTGCTTTATATATAGGTCAGTGGGCCACGGCTATCTCACGCGCGCGTCAGACCCAGACATGCGCAGCGTAGCAGCAGCAGCAGCGCGCTTTCGTCGACGAGTCTCTGAATACTCACACCTACATTGTGTTCGTGTGTATACATACACAAATCGCGCTGCAGCAGCAGCAGCAGCAGCGGAGCAACGAAGATCTGCTGCTGCACGGGGGCTCTCTTGGCTATAGTATACGTAGTCGCGCGCAGCAGCACGAGCACGAGCGTCTTTTGGCAATACCAAGTGCATTGCCAATGCTTACCCTGCTGCACATGCACTCGCGCTCGCCACGCGCTCCGCAGCGACCGACCGACCGACCGACCGACCGCGGCGAGTATCGACTCGCTTTTTCACAGTAGTATACACACCAAAGTTCGAAAAGCCCATTAGTGTATAGTGGTTCATGAATATCACAGCGATCTATTCGTTAGCATTATTGATTTAACTTTTTTTCAACCATACCCACTTCCTCGAATGTTATTCTTGTAATTAGTAAGCTCGAAATAGTTTCGCTTTGCTTATTAACGCGATCGTGCATTTTTAAAGAATCAACCCGTATCGTTTGTTAATTTTTGATGTGAATTTATTTCAACGCTTAGTTAGATATTAACAGGACTTTGTACGCTACAAAAAAAGTCGCGATTGACACGCTGACGGAGCCAAGTGGAAAACAATTAGAATTTGCACAACTGCAGGCAAACATACTGCGCGCGCCCGATAAGTTCAATAAAAAAATTACTCAATCAAATATATGAGTAATTCTGGGCTTAAACTGATTTTCGTTCGAGGCCCATGTATCCAAGATCCCATCCCACATTACTTTCGAAATACTTTGACAAATTCCACGTCCCTTTCATTTATAAAAGACACAAAGGAAAGCTCGGTTATTGAACGAAAAATATATTCAATATTAAAATAAAATAATGATTATTATGAATATTAATGAAATTGTGTCGAGCCCAGGTAGAGTGCACATTCGATTTTTGATTGCTATTTGGCTCTCTCTTGGAGTATTACACATCTCGGATAAAATCAATATTTGATTAATAAAGCGTTAGCCAAGAATTTATAATTAAGGTGGCGTGCTGATCGCGAATTGAAGTTTCTTCGAAGGAGTTTCAGTACTATTATAAGAAAAAAAATTTTTTAACTTCAATTTGACTGGAAATTACATATTCCAACCAAAAGTATACTGCACAAAAGAATAATATGAACGGAAATAATTTTTTTAAAGAAAAGAAAGTTTAGGTATCATTTATTCTACCTCGACAACATAAAGGGGGATGCAAAAGCCAATAAAGGAATAAAAATTCAAAGGCTGTTTCTCGAGTTTTGTTCTAAATATTTGTCGAAACACCTACGGTATTTTCAAGAACATTCAAATAAAGGACCTTTAAAATGACAAAGAAATAATTCAATAATAAGTCTTAGAAACATTTTTGATACTTTCATTATTATCCTAGCTTCGTCACTATGTAATAAAAAATCTGATAGAATCATTTTTTCATACGTATTAGTTATAATAATTTTAACCTAAATTTTCTGTCAAAATACAATTAAAGTTTTCAAAAAGCAAAGATCAAGAATATGTTGTATCTTAAAAAATGACGGAATCGTATTGAAAATGACAATTTTGAACCAGTTTCCATATATTCCGAAGACTTTTTTAAAAGCATTTATAATTTCCTTAAGAACTGAGAGACAAAGATTATTGTAAAACTGTTTTGGAAAAATTGGAGTAAAAGTCTCAGTAAACGGATCTGAGATTCCATAATTTATCCTCAATGAAGACTATTGATCAATTTTCTATTTCATTATTGATATACTTTGCAGCATCCATATTGTATCTATAAAAAGAATGGGCTAGATGAATTAATTTTTATTGATACAGTTAAAAAATTTAATAAAAGCAATTAAAAGTAAAAGCTTGAACAGCTACTCGAATTACAAAATATAATTGAAAACTTTTTCAATGGTGCATTTCTAGATTACTTTTTCCTGACTGTATTTTAATTTTAATATGACTAAGCAAAGTTAATCAAACATCATAAAATCATCGTAGTAGCATAGGGCTAATTGGTGGATTGATCTATAGATCCTAATAACTAGGAACATTGTTGAAAACTAATCGAAGGGCATTGAAATAATCTTGTGTTAAATTTCAGAACCACCAAATGAACTAAATTAGTTATGAAAAAATTATGGTAGCGTCATAGGGATGTGTGCACGAGCGAACTAAAAGGAATAGTAAAATTATTCAGAGTTTGTCGTATGCTCGTATGCACGCGCATCAGTTGGTGATGACCTACTGACCTAAAAATTTGAAAAAGTAGCACAGACACGATTGCTTTCTCGCTTTTTGATAATGCTAACTGAGCTGTTAAAATTTTTAATTTTCAGTAAAAAAAATTGAAATTCGACTTTTTTGGAAAAGCGTATCGATAAAATCGGACACAATTACGTAGGGTTGGACAGAATATTTTTGGTAACTGTAAAAAGATAAGAAAGAAACAGCTAGAATATTTTACGGAGTTTACATACAGATGATAGATTTCGATTTTCTATTTCTAAATGAGTGATTTTTTTCAAATTAGATCAGGAACAGCAACATGAAGTAAAAAAGTTAAATTATTCGAAAATGGAATTTAAATTTAAATTTGAAAATTTGTTAGCAGCTTAATCCGCTCAAGTAATTAAACAAACAAAATGTACCGTTTTGAAATTATATACTCAAGTGGAACTATTTCGTTAGTATTAAGAACTGATAAATATCATTATATAATATCAATCATTGTATAAGAGTTATCTCTATCTGAACTTAAGTGTAATTAAAAGAGAGTAACTGTAAATTGGAAAAAGAGCACTTTGTTACTCTTTTAAGATTACTAGATTGATGTGCAAATCAGTGATGGATCAATTAACTCTTTCTCATTCTATTTCAACATCTTTCTTGTGAATCAAGAGCTATTTCCTTCTTAGATGAATTGCAATCTTGTTTTCTACTTCATTCAAGTTTACTTTCTCATAATTTCAATTAGTTCATTGTTACATGATCAATAATTTTCTTTTGTTTAATGACAGATTTTTCACATTGATGATTGTTGCTCAAGAGGTATTTGTACAAAAATTTTCAATATCAGAAACGCATCGTACTAGATAGATTAGGTTACGCTGAATCAAATGGTTTATTTGTTTATACCGCTTGTATGATTAAATTTTGAAATATGTACTCTCTATGTATCAACAATTTAAGGAGGTTCGGGAGTCTCAGCGAAATGCAGCCAAATTTTTAAAACACGTTTAATTGCTTTGAAACTTTATAATATGAATGTTAATATTAAAATACAACTTTTCACCGCAAAATTTTGTTAAAATGATGAAAAAATTTTTTGACCTTTTAACATGGTTTCTTACGAGAAATCATGAATTTTCGCTTTCAATGAGCATAAACATAATGTAAAAAAACAAAAACTAAATAGAAAAAAATACGTACATGTAGGAAATTTAATAAGGAATAATTTGACTGCAAAAAGAAGTTCATCGACCGTATAGTTATCGAGAAATAAATTGTTATGTGTAAAAATTCGTGGGTCATTTGCGCGTACCCTAACCAACAAATGAGCTAGAACAACAAAAATATGTGCTCATTCGACTCTAATGACAAATAGAGTATTGTTATAA